ATTAGTATAAATTTGACTCGGTAGACCGCGAGATTCTGTAGCAGTGTCTGTCATTGAAAGGCGTACCACAGAAGTACATAAACCTTGTAAAGGCTCTTTACTCGAACACTACTAGTCGAGTCAGAGCTTATGGAGAACTGTCATATACTTTTGCAACCTCAAGTGGTGTCCGTCAAGGCTGTCCACTTTCTCCATTTTCGTTTAACTTCATTATAGATCTGCTGGTGAAAATAATGCTCTCATCGATCGAATACTCGGGTATTGATCTCCTACCAGGAGATCCACTTATCGACTTAGAATACGCAGATGACATAGTCCTGTTTGGTGAAGACGCTGACAAAATGCAGAGTCTTTTGGTAGCACTAAGCAACAATGCCAGAATGTTTGGAATGCGCTTCTCTCTCTCTAAATGCAAGTTGTTGCTCCAGGACTGGTCTGCATCAACACCTGAACTAAGGATAGGGAGTAAAGTAGTCGAACGCGTCGACAACTTCACTTATCTTGGAAGTCTGATCAGCCCTAATGAGCTGGTATCGGATGAAATCTCAGCACGGATTCGGAAAGCTCGTTTGGCTTTTGCCAACCTGCGTCACCTATGGCGAAGGCGAGATATCCGTCTATCAATAAAAGGACAAGTATACTGCGCGGCAGTTCATTCTGTTTTAATTTACGGTAGAGAAGCATGGCCATTAAGAGAAGAAGATACTCGTAAGCTATTAGTATTTGACCTCAGATGCTTTAGAAATATTGCTAGCGTCTGCTGGGATCACCGGGTAAGTAATGGTGAGGTAGACGCAGTGTGTTAGGGAATGATGGTGAATCAGTTGGTGAGGTTGTTAATCTTCATCGACTGAGGTGGTTGGGCCACGTGTTACGTATGCCTGAACACCATTTACCATGACGCGCAATGCTGACAAGTGTTGGAGATGGTTGGGAGAAAGTTAGAGACGACCAAACGAAGACGTGGCATCAGTGCTTGAAGTCACTAACTTCTAGTCTGAGCCATGTTGGTAGATGCAGACTACTTGGTTGGGGTCCGCGTGACTGTCGTAACCAATGGTTGGAGACTCTTGGTAACATGGCTAAGAATCTATCACAATGGCGTCGGTGTATACACTCTCTGTCTTCCCTTAAACTAAGAGATTAAAACCGCTTCATATCTTTCTTTCTATCAACTAATTCTTTCTTCCTTTACTATGTCCTTATTGCAATCTTTCTTCTATATATTACCACCTCTGAATTAACTACTTTTATGAGTCCGGTGTCCATCTTGTTGTGTTAATGAGGTATGGCAACCTGGACCGATGCACATATGTGCCTGGTCCTACGTTGTAGCTAACTGACTGACTGGCTGAATATAAATACCACTCTAAGAAATCACGAAATAAAATGGATTAATATTATTCTGCCTCACTTGTTGTTCTAACCTTATCTGAACTTATAGAGTTGATCGAAATTGTTTAACTATTTGGTTATTTGTTCTTACATGACAACTACACAATCCAATGACTTCCTAGCCTGGTCCATTCCAACTTACAGCCCAGGCTTTCACGCCACCTCAGTATTGTATGAAGGATAAATGGAGAAGTACCAGGGATATTTATATATTTGTGCGAGAATACAAAGAAGGGTAAATTTTACAGTACTAAAAGGGTGCTGCACGTGCCGGTCCCACTTATTCGGTTCCTTTACCATAGCCGTCGATTGTTGGCCTCGGGGAGTTCGGGTGAAATAATTTTGATATAGCAATACGTTTATCAAAACAAATAACTTAATTACAACACGGTGCTATTTCAGTAGCCAAAAGGACTTACAGTAGCTGCGAAATATTTGTGTCTCTTTTAACGTTTCTTTAGACCAAGGTTTACTTCAGAAAACACTCATGGTCATCCTAATTAAGGGAGATCACTATACCACGATTATGCTCTAGTCTTCAAGACTGATGAAGTTTAACTCATATGAATAAAAGCATGCTCATTTTAGACTTATGAATGTCTAACTCCTCCACTAAACAAAAACGGAGATATCTCAAGTCAAAATGAGTGTAGTTGAAGTTGTCATGCTAAAACTACTGAAAACTGTATAAACATTCTAACAGAATACCATGAATTCATTTTTATTTCATTGGTTCTCGTTTTTATGGGGTATTTTTAAAACATGGTGCTTAAACAGTCGATTAGCAAAACGACGGAATATTCCATATATGTTGATGACACGTTTATTGTCTATAACAATAAACAGCATGCAATCCGCCTGCTAAAACTCTTCAGTAATACTCATCCTAACATACAACTTACTATGGAACACGAACAGAATGACATGTTCCACTTTCTTGATGTTGCTATAAAACGTGGGAGAGACGAGACAGTCCAAAGTTCGATTTATCGAAAAAGTACTTGGAATGGCCTTTACCTGAATTTCAATAGTTTTTGTCCACTCAGTTACAAGAAGGCATTAGTTAAAACACTGTTTTATAGGTCAGAAAGGATATGTGCCACTGACAAACTGGAAGAGGAATTGATGAACGCGGAAAAATGCCTACGAGACAACTCTTATCCACAAAAGTTTATTGACAAATATAAGGAGCCTGAAGAAAAGAATACTGAAGTAATTACGGTCAATAAAAAACCAATAACTATAAATCTTAACTTCAGAGGTGATGATTTTGCAAACACAATCAACAGGAGACTGAATACTGCGCTCGCCAGAACTTATCCGGCGGCCAAACTTCTAATTCTGTATAAAACAACATGCTCAATAACTCAATCAAAGGTTGATAAGCATCCCTTCATGTTACCGCCAATTGTATTTATAAATTTACGTGTACCTGCCAAAGCAGCTACATTGGTCGAACAGAAAAGAGGGCATATCTCAGATTTTTTGAACATGTTCCAGAAAGCCTCAGAACAGGAGAAAGAAAGACTCTAAACAGTGCAATCACCAAACATCTTGATACAGGACATCGGGCCGATATCCTGTAATCATTCAAGGTGATTAGTAAGCAGCCAAACTCCAGTCTTCTGAAGTTTGCTGAAGTCGTTGCCATCAGACGTCAAAAACCTGACCTATGTGTTCAAAAGGAGACGGTTATCAATCTTTCCTTGCCTTGGTGACAAATACTCTTTCGCTGCATTTGAAAAAGTTTTTTCTTTAAACTCTTTTTTGCTTTTATCACATCATTGAGTTTTATTTCAACTATCTTCTAAATTAATCTTATTCTATCAGCTGGACTCTACTCATTTTATTCCTCTCAATGTTTACTTGTTTCTAGCCGTTTGAACTGTTGTCACAATCAACATTGTAGAATGCTCTTTTACCTAAGTCATATATTAACAATATTCAGTCTATTAATTTTATTTACACCTTTGCTATACTATACGAATATGTCTTCAATATAATTCCAACTAAACCCTCTCATGTAAGTAATTGAAACCCATCAAAATAAAAAAACGGTATTGGAATAACAGCAGAGGTAGACCTCCTTGAAACTTATTTGAACCTAGATTAATACTGGCACTTAGAATCACCAGCAATTGTATTAGAATAGGGATAACACTGGTCGTAGAATGTCCGGTAATTGTACTATAGTGAAGTAAGTTCAAGACTACATTAGACTGGTATAATATGTATTGTATTGAAATGAGTATAGTGACCAGAAGGTCAATTAATTAATGTATCTCAGGCAGTTAACGATTAGTGTAGTGACGGAATGTAACAATCATATAGTTAGATAGACCGGTAACCAAACAAATGAATGTTAGAAGGATTCACACACTAGATATATGAATTAGTCGGATAACCGAGAACAATTAAACCGATAGAATCGATCTCGTGCGTTTGACAGTCACTTGCCCAGTCAGATGTTGTGTTCCAAAATGAGAACGCAATTATGTGAACTTAGCATGTGTGTATTAAACACCATAATTCATTTAGTTCATGGACTATCGTCAGCCGCTTAAAATACCCTTAAAACCATAGCAATAATTATTTAGAACAAATATACATGCTTTTTGTAAGATTAATGAGGATCAACAAAACAGTAACAACAGTTATGAAGGAATTGCAAATTGGATGAACATTTATATATTACTGAAGATGAAGGTTCTAGAAGAAAAATTTTCAAAACATATGGAGATGCATTTGCGTAGAATGAAAAATTATGTCAAGGTTTATTCCACCAATAGCCTTCAATAGACTTGGCATAACAAAAGGAGGGAGGAATATGTCACCAACCAGCAAACATGTGAGGGAGATGGTTTCGATCCACCCGGTTTTATGAAGCGGAACATCCGGTCCACCTGAGGCTTTTTATAATTGGAGACAAAGCAAATATCCAATGGTGTTGAGGTTGCTCTTCTGTGCTTCCTGCCTCTTAGACTTGTGTTTTCAGTTTTATGTTAGCCTCGCTATACTGCCAAGATATACATGCTAATACAAGTTTTTACGCTATGGCTTGAAGGTTGGTGTTAGACATTATTTAACCGTTTAATAGTTTGAAAATGTACTAATTTTGTGCACAGTGGTGAGAGCTGTTTGATCCCACCCTTGATAGTAGGAGAAGTCCACTGTGTTCACACACAATTTACAAAGTTCAATCTATGAGACTGCAGCAAATGGTATTGATACATTAAACGAAATGAGGAATATATCAAAGACCTTAACGTTTTCTAGAATTTCAGTAAAATGAAAGGTGTCTTTCGAACCATGTGGAGACATTTCCGAACGGATCGGCCATTAATGATTCTCTTACAATTAGGAGAGTTTGTAAGTGAAATATTCTGTCACAAATAGAATTAACGTGACACGAAAATCAGAATTCTATCTTTTCGATAGACAATACTTGACGGCCTAACTCATTAGGATCAGTACATTTTGACGAATTAGTCACACTAGATATCATCAAAGACATGGAATCCTGCAGCAATATCAAGGAGAAAATAAATCTCATAAGCTTGTCACATAGATATAAAATGCCTTGGATACTGGATTGTGAGTGGTGGCCTTGACGTAGTTTAAATGTTCGGGATGTGTAACTCGTTCGAAGTTTTACCGCACCATCGGGTTTTTACTTGTAGTCGAATGTTTAGAACGTATCTCAAAGGTGAATGTTATTGCAGTGCTTGTAATTACTGTCAAATATCGGTGGTTTATGTCATACTTGTCAATGTGTGTTGATTCAAACCATAGGTATCTATAAACATCGCACTAAGGGACTAAATTGATAAAATATAGTATGCATATACTAAATCACCATAGTACGGCCGAGTCCACTCTAATTAAACTTCCTAATCAAGATTTTTGTGCTGTGGTTTTATGTGTAAATTGATCAACTATTTGCGAAGGATACGCGTAGGATAACTCATTTCCTAATTATTCCTATGCCTCGTTTGTTTTCCTAGCTGTAAAGCGATTTTACCTTTTTTAATATCTATAGATCACGGAACGTACACAAACCCTAGGTTAAATTAAATATTTTAAGAGGATGGATGGGGAATGTTTTGATGTATAAGTCATGTAAAGACACTCATTTATCGACACCCTAACCCATACCCTTTATGTCAAGCTTACACACTTGCCACCCATATCGGCGCACAATGTTACTAGTTACAGAAGTAGGTTGAAAAAGGCTATAATCGACTAAAATAGAATTCGACGCTACTAAGTTATTAACTTTTCGGTCAGACTAGTTGTTGTTAGGATCCGTGCAACAATCATATCCAGAAGTTGGATCATGTTCCGAAATTGGTTTTAGTGACGCAAACACATCCATTTTTTATTTCCTCTCAAGTCCTATGTTTCGTAACTATTTCTTAGACCTCACTATTGAACTATATTCACTGTCTTGTCCTCTTTACCATCATAAACACTACTATTACTTCTACCCAGTGCACTGATATTGTTTGATATTTTTGGGTTATTGCTTATTCGTATCCGGTGAAATTCATTCAAAACTGACCTATCGACAACTCTAAACAACACAGTCTTTTGTCCCGAATCTAGTTTCTATTTATAAAGTGCTTATTATTTTTCATTTTCCGTTTTCCTGACTTTAAGACGTTTTAGCTGATGGTCAAGATATAGCTCCGTCATCAAAAATGTCCAAGAAACTGGGTTGTTATTTTCCTAAATGAAAGGCAAAAGAAAACGCACTGCTTTGGTCAATTGTTTTTTCTCAGTTTTTTGTTGAATTCCTGTCCTTTTTATACCCATTACTTCTCCCAAAAGAACCCATTCTCTAGAAATGATCAATTTATCATTTTTCCACTTCCTTTTATTGACATGGCTACAATAAACTGACTGACTTACATTCTGGTAACATGAACACCAAGATATATAGCTATCACACTGTCCTACATTAAACTTTATTCCTCACAGAACAGATTGACTGAGAACACTTTCCTAGATCTACTAGAACTTCAGCTGCTGGGTGACAGCTTGCTTTATAGATTGTCCAATCGAAAGTACGAAAACCTATTCAGTTAGTGTTTTTTAAGTGCTTTAGCTCTTAAATTTCTTTAGGCCGGCCACAAGGCGTAATATACCTTTGCTAATTTGTGGAGAGTAAAGGTTTAGATTTCCATACTTATTTTAGGTGATTGCTAGTGAAACCATTTATAATCCCTATCATTGTTCTAAGTAAAAATTCGGGTATATCCATTTATTTGTTTGGATTATCATTTCATCTTATTCCTCACTTACTGCAGAACTAACGGTTGGCTAGTATGGTAGTCTTCATACCTAATATGCAAACCTATACAAGATTACAGTTTGGATTTTTTTTCATCGTCTTTAAGGATTGGTCAGATTTAAAACCCTAAATTAATTCTGTTTCGTTTTTAGACACATTTCACAGTTTCTAAGAGATGATTCGTCTAATTGTAATTGATAGACAGCTACGTATCCTGCGTCCAAATGAAAAATTTCCATCATTTTCATGCAGTCAATTGCTATGCATGTTGGCTAAATCTGTTATAGTTAAACTTTGTAACTTTGAAAATCCTGGTTTTATATCTGTAGTAAGTTATTATTTTTTATTCCAAAGCATACTTTCTGCAGTATTGGTGTGAATAGATTAGTGCGTAAATGGTTTACAAAGATCAGGTGTTAGTCTTAAATCTAAGATTTCGGATGTAGATCTGAATGTGGTTAGAAGCGTGACCTATTTCCTTTTCAAAGATTATATATATATATATATATTTATTTTTATTTATTTATTTGAACACATAAATATTGGTACAAGAGAGCGCCAATATATATGCGCCACACAAAACAATGAGAATCAGTCAGTCAGTCAGTCAGTAACAACGTAGAACTTCGTACGCACGTACATCAGTTCGAGTTGCCACACCACATTAGCACAGAGATGCAGTTGTCGATTCAAATCCCGTAGTGGTAGAGATAATAAGAGTATAAGCAGTAATCGGGAAGATTAGGGTTTGGAGATGTTATTTAAAGAGTATAATCCAGTGAAATAAATTTGGAAAGAGGAAAAAAGGGACATGAAGAATTCAGAAGATAAGAATTTGGGAAAACACAAAGAGTGGATGCACCTGCGCCATTGCAAACGATTCTGAGCCATGTCATTCAGGGTCTCTAACCATCGGTTGCTATCATCTCGCGGTCCCCAACCAGGTAGTCTACACCTACCAACATGACTCAGTTCACTTGTCAGTGACTTCATGGACTTGTGCCATGTTTTGGTTTGGCCGCCCCTAGCTTTCTTCCAACCTACTCCTATACCACTGAACATAGCACGTCGAGGCAGTCGGTGGTTGGGCATACGTAACACGTGTCCCAGAAACAATGAGAATGCAAAGAGAAATAGAAAAAAACTAAGGAGCGCAAAAGAAAAAGAGAACAATAACGAAGAGATTGGTGTAAGGTAGTGTGGTAGTAACGACGGAACGAAAAGGTACAATCAGAAGAAATCTTTCAGGTAAAGGAGACACAACCACTTTTTATGAAGAAAGTAAAAGAAGATTACAGCAGGATCGCCACTGGCTTCTATTCTGAGCCATATCTGATAACGTCTCTAACCACTGTGTAGCACCATCTCTCAGACCCCAACCAGGGAGTCGTGAAGGACCGACACAAGCCAGTCCTTTGCAGCTTTCTTTCATACCACGACACCATGTCATGCACTGACCACCTCTCCGCTTCTTCCAACTGGTCCCATTGTCGCAAATAATGCACGACGTGGAATTCTCTAAGACATTCGTAGAACATATCCACGCCACCGAAGTCGGTGTTTCAAGATGGTGACACCAATTGAATTATCATCTCTGTGCCCGAACACACGATGCCGAACCTCTGCATTACTGACATGGTGTTGCCACTGAATGTCAGCAATCCTTCGGAGACAGCGATGATCGAACACAGAGAGTCGTCTAGCATCCTCAACTCGGAGAGACCAGGTTTCACAAGCATAGAGCAAAACTGCTCTCACCGACGCGTTGTAGATCCGACCTCTTAGTTTAAGGGAAGACAGAGAGTGTATACACCGACGCCATTGTGATCGATTCTTAGCCATGTTACCAAGAGTCTCCAACCATTGGTTACGACAGTCACGCGGACCCCAACCAAGTAGTCTGCATCTACCAACATGGCTCAGACTAGAAGTTAGTGACTTCAATGACTGATGCCACGTTTTGGTTTGGCCGCCCCTAACTTTCTTCCAACCATCTCTAACACCGGTTAGCATTGCACGTCGTGGTAATCGGTGTTCAGGCATACGTAACACGTGGCCCAACCATCTCAGTCGATGAGGATTCATAACCTCATCAACTGATTTACCATCATTTCCTAATACCCTGCGTTTAATCTCACTATTACTTACCCGGTGATCCCAGCAGACGCTAGCAATATTTCTAAGGCATCTGTGGTGAAATACTAGTAGCCCTTAAGTAAGGATCCTTTACAGAATACTGTTCAATGGTCCTGTAAACTGTAGAACTTAGTGCTCACCTCACTTCACTCCTAATCAGTGGTTTACATGTTTTAACCTTTTTGTACCTTCTTAAATTTAGGAAGCTTTCGCGTAAACTATCTGACTCATAACTGGAGTGCATAAGCCTGGTGCACCAACTGGATTACGCTTGTTATTGATGTTACCAGCTGTTATTATACAGTGTGTTTAATGATAAAACTGACTAACGATTACCTCAAGTGGTGTTCGTCAGGGCTGTCCACTCTCCCCATTCTTGTTCAACTTTGTCGTGGACGTACTTCTAGAGATAACACTTTCCTCATCTAGATTTCCAGGGGTTGAACTTCTACCGGGAGGTTCACTTGTTGACTTAGAATATGCAGATGACATAGTTTTATTTGGTGAAGACGCTGACAAAATGCAGAGTCTTCTGACCACTCTAAGCAACAATGCAAGCATGTTCGGGATGAGATTCTCTCCCTCGAAATGCAAAATGTTGCTTCAGGATTGGGTTACATCGACACCCGAACTAGTGATAGGGAGTGAAGTAGTTGAGTGTGTCGACCGCTTCACTTATCTTGGAAGTCTCATCAGCCCTTGTGGTCTGGTGAGTGACGAAATCTCAGCACGGATACAGAAGGCTCGACTAGCTTTTGCCAACTTGCGTCATTTATGGCGTAGGCGAGATATCCGTCTATCAACCAAAGGACGTGTTTACTGTGCAGCAGTTCGTTCCGTCCTACTTTATGGCAGTGAAACATGGCCGGTAAGAGTAGAGGATATCCGTAGGCTACTAGTATTTGATCATAGGTGTCTTCGAAACATTGCTCGTATATCATGGGACCATCGAGTAAGTAACACAGTTGTTAGGAAACGGGTACTAGGTAAGGATGGCAAATCAATTGATGAAGTAGTGAAACTTCATCAGTTGAGATGGCTGGGACACGTGTTACGTATGCCCAACCACCGACTGCCTAGACGTGCTATGTTCAGTGGTATAGGAGTAGGTTGGAAGAAAGCTAGGGGCGGCCAAACCAAAACATGGCACAAGTCCATGAAGTCACTGACAAGTGAACTGAGTCATGTTGGTAGGTGTAGACTACCTGGTTGGGGACCGCGAGATGATAGCAACCGATGGTTAGAGACCCTGAATGACATGGCTCAGAATCGTTTGCAATGGCGCAGGTGCATCCACTCTTTGTGTTCTCCCAAATTCTAATCTTCTGAATTCTTCATGTCCCTTTTTTCTCTTTCCAAATTTATTTCACTGGATTATACTCTATAAATAACATCTCCAAACCTTAATCTTCCCGATTACTGCTTATACTCTTACTACCTCTACCACTATGGGATTTGAATCGACAACTGCATCTCTGTGCTAATGTGGTGTGGCAACTCGAACTGATGTACGTGCGTACGAAGTTCTACGTTGTTACTGACTGAACGAAATTTTCTCTTCGATGACTTTACTTCTAAAAGCTGTACAATCTTATTTCGGCACGATAATCCATGTAATAAAAAGGTTTTATATATCTGTATACGTGAGTATAATGAATGAAAATTATAAGATATGTTCGTTGAAGGGAAAATTTCTTTGCAAAAATATCTGTTCTTATTTAGAATTATGAAATGAGTTACCAAAGTTCAGCATCCTGATTTGTTCTCCCTTTTTGGTTGTCCCTCTACCATTGTACAAGTACTTTTTCGATTCTTAATATAAGTTATAGATGGGAATTCAATATGTTTTAATTTCCTTTTTTAACAGTGCGATACAACAAGCTTGTCTCCTAAAGGATCACTTGGCGCATTTTCCTCCGATATATCTAGCTTGCATAATGCAATTGATCACATTGAACAGACAGCTAAGGCGATGTTCCCTAGTGAATTGACTGCCACATCAATTCTTAACATCTTGAAAGAAGCATATCTGTACTATGGACCATGGTCAAATATTCAAGTGAATACAATGTTTATATTTATATATTTAACTGTTAAAATTACGTATTACAGATATTTAAGTTAGATGACAATTAAGCACTTAAAAACTTGTCATCAGATGACAAGCTCCACTTTCGTTTCACATGCTGGTATTTATGTAGCAAGCTCACATTAGGTGGTTTTTATACAACATGCTTATAACTTTTGGTCTCAAATGCTCTGGTACGGTCGAGGGTGGCGAGAGTCAGCTCTCCTTCTCCAAATGCTCTCACATGGCTACATGTATACAGCCACTACCAAGGAAGTCCTACTCACTGTCTTTACGCCACGGCTGTGTTTACGAAATCGAGAGGATGAGAGGCGAATGTCTGATGCTTTAACCGGGTTGGTGGACACGACGAATCTACCTAGGGGAGTTGGAAAACCCTGATTCCAAATCAATGGTGCACAAGGGCTCCAGGATCCTGAAGGAACAAATGACATATGAACCTATTATTGATTACCGTTTACCATGGGATCGCACCTCCTAACATTGTCTCAATGCTTTGTGAATTAGACCTCTAGGTAAAAGGCTCGGGGGATAGTCTCAAAGGTATAGATGATCATTGGTTATAATTGCATGATACCATGAAAATGACGAGTAAAGTCGCTTGCGGCTTCGCGAAACGTCCCGCTTTTAAACACTGGGTGTCTGCAGGCTCTTTACAACTTGTTGAAACACGTTGGTCTATTCCGGGTGACCGCGAGTTTGACCACAAATGAAGACTGTTACGCAACGAAATTGTGAAAAGCTCGCCTAAGGGCCGAGAAGTCTGTTGGTTGGAATGTGCCGACGAGTTGTAAGCAGCAGCTGCATTTGGTAACTGCCGGAAGCTCTTTCAATTCATCCGAGTCACTGGCAGCAGGAAGTTTGGTGTGAGTGAAACAATCTGTGTAGATGACGGGATGCCAATCAATAACATCTAACGACGTCTTGGACGATGGGCAGAGTTTTCTGAATAACAGTTTAACTGATCTACTTCCCGGTAACATCGATCAGACTGTCCTGACCTCCATGGTCTATGACGACTGGTCCACCTAACGATGTGGGAGTCCTCAAGGAACTCCAACTGTTGAAACATCACAGATCACCAGGCCTAGATAGCGTCCCTCTGGCCCTTCCTAAAGATAGTGGCGACTTTCTGCTTATGGAATTGACTGATTTATTTACAAAGATCTAGCAATTAGTGTTCCAATATCATGGAATGAGTCGATAGTTGTCCCTATCTTTACAAAGGGTTCACGTCGTTTCTGCAACAACCATCGGGGAGTAAGTCTAATTCCGATCGCGTCCAAATTATTGACTTTCGTCACACTTCTTATGTTGTTCAAAACCCGGGAGAGATTGACTCGCGAGGAGCAGACTGGTCTTCGTTCTGATGGAGGATGTATTGATCATATCTTCACCCTCCAACATATTTTGGAACATCGTCATACATATTACAGACCAACAATTTTAGTATTTATTGACATTAAGGTCGCCGTGGATTCGTTGGACAGGACTGTTGTCTTGGATTGTTTATTAAGGAAGGGTGTGCCTGAGAAGTTTATTAACATCTCGAAAGCCCTATATGTTAACATCTTAGGCAGAGTGAGGACATACAACCATCTCTCCATTGTTCCATTCAAGCAGTGGGGTTAGACAGGGTTGCCCAATCTCACCATTCTCCCTCAACTTTGCTCTTGATGACGTTGTGGAAACGGCTCTGATGGGTGTAGGTAATAGTGGTGTGGATCTGTTGCCTGGAGAAAGATTTATAGACTTTGAGTATGTGGATGATATTGTCTTACTGTGCGACTATACCCAAGCCATTCAATCCGCATTTAATAAGTTGGCAATAGGTGTCCGTAGGTACGAAGTGTGCTTTGCACTTTCGAAGTGCAAAGTACTTTTACAAGTCTGACACGACCCTGATCCTGTACTCACTTTGGGTAGTGAGCGAATAGAAGTAGTCGAGAAGTATGTGTATTTGGGTAGCTGCATAAGTGCTGGTGGTGGCGTGAGTGATGCGATCAATTCACGTATAGCGAAAGCCAGGACTACTTATGCCAACCTGGACCATGTTGGGCGCCTTCGTGATGTTAGTCTGTTCGTAAAAGGTCGGATCCACAACGCGTCGATGAGAGCAGTCTTACTCGATACTTGTGAAACCTGGCCTCTTCTTATCGCGGATGTTAGACGACTCTCTGTATTTGATCATCGTTGTTTCCGAAGGATTGTTGACATCCAGTGGCAACACCATGTTAGTAATGTAGAGATTCGGCATCGTGTGTTTGGGTACAGCGACGATAATTCAGTTTGTGTCACTATCTTGAAACATTGGCTTTGGTAGCTTGGACATGTTCTACAAATGTCGTCCCAGAGAATTCCACGTCGTGCATTATTTGCGACACTGGGACTAGTTGGAAGAAGCGGAGAGGTAGTCAGTGTATGACATGGTGTCGTGTTATGAAAGAAAACTGTACAGGACTGGCTTCTGTTGGACCTATATGATTTCTTGATTGGGGTCCTGGAGATGGTGCAATACAGTGGCTAGAGACGTTATCAGACATGGCTCCTTCATTTCCATACCAATCACTCTCTGTTCTCGTTCTCTTCTCCTCCATCTTCTTAAACTTCCGCCGCCAGACATTCCACTTCCTATTGTTGCTACGTACTACTTATATCTGTCGACGTCAGTGGTACTTGCCTTAGCAATTCCAACTCACTGTGCTAATGTGGTATGATATCTTCGGTTGATGCATATACATTCCAAGCTCGACGTTGCTTATGTTTGAACGACTGTTTTCAGAATTATAGATAACATATTTCTGGTAGATTGGTTTGGATCACATTTTGGAATTCATTGAATTAATCTAGATTCAAGTTAAGTGGGATTATTTAAGTCGATCATTCTAATAAAAATAGTTATCATTATTATAACTTTCAATTTTATCAAATCATTACTGTGATTATTGCGCAATATTAGTAGTGTAGTGAACAAGAACACCAGTGGGGACAATCGAGTGTATTTAACACAAAATTACAGGACTTGTTAATAAAATCTAACAATCATAAAGTAAATGCTTAATTTGCAAAATGTCCACCAATTGTCTCAAAATGACTCAGACTTTATTGTTCTTGCATCTTCATACAAATTGCATCCTGTTTCCATTCTTTACTGTTCGATCCTCTTGTCTCTCCGCTGCCAGACCTTCTGTTCACGACTAACATCATGTCAATATAAGTAGCACACCACAGTAGTACATAAATTATTTTTTATTATTTAGATGAATATTCATATATGAAGTTAAATTTTTGTTTTGTTTTTGTTGTATACTTCAGGTTTTATTATTTACAGATGGAGGATCTTCTTACTTCACTCATTCCTCTCTTATTTACCCAGTAGATTTTCCCAAAAGTCTATTTAATGATACTTCAATTTTGTTCATTAGTTTGAGTGATAAACAGGTGGGTGGAACTTCTCCAGTTGATGTATACATGTATATAATTCTTGACAAATTTATGATCAAGTGACTTAATGGTTTGGGACTATCATTTTTTTCTGTTTTAAGCTTTACAAATTATTTCCTTATGCGCTGAGTACTGGCCAATATCATATTTGTCCAGTTCTTAGTGCAAATTGAATTCTATCGATCAAGTTATTATGTGGAAACTAGTCTAAATGACTCAATATCTTGTGTACGATGTTGAAATGTTAGATGGTAGTTGAAGTAGTCAACAGGAAACCCTAGACCCAAGTTTTGTCGTATTTGACGTCCGTCAGCAAACGTACGCCTGGATTTCTAAGTCTACTGATTCTTCCTGTAGGATTAGAGCCCAGGCTTCGTAGTCTCATATTCTGAGACATTGACATTAATCTACCTGTTAATATTTTGCTAAACAATGAAGTTCGTTAAAATAACTTTGACACTTAAGTTATTCTGGTTCGAGATTCACATAAATATTGTGCTAAAAGATTATTAGATGATTTTTTAAATTCCCAACATTGAACGCCTTATTCCTACCTTCTTGTTGAATATTGATGTTTATTTTAATTTTATCCTGAAGGAGGAGTTCAACTTTAACGTCCATCTGTCTCAATTACGCTTAATGATAAAGGTGCACCATTAAATGAGTTTGGCATCGAACTAATTAATTTGTTTCAATATATATATTGGTACAAAGGTGCACCAAAATGTATATGCACTACACAGAGTAGTTATTATTAGATTCGAGAGCGGGGATACTGTGCAGTTATACCCAAACCGAAGCAGATAGTTTTCTTAGGGGACCACACCCGGAGCTGTTGACCTAGAAGTCTAATCCACAAAGCATTGGGACAATATTAGGAGGTGCGATCCCATGGTAAACGGTAATCAATAATAGGTTCATATGTCATTTGTTCCTTCAGGATCCTGGAGCCCTTGTGCACCATTGATTTGGAATCAGGGTTTTCCAACTCCCCTAGGTAGATTCGTCGTGTCCACCAACCCGGTTAAAGCATCAGACATTCGCCTTTCATCCTCTCGATTTCGTAAAAACAGCCACGGCGTAAAGACAGTGAGTAGGACTTCCTTGGTAGTGGCTGTATACATGTAGCCATGTGAGAGCATTTGGAGAAGGAGAGCTGACTCTCGCCACCCTCGACCGTACCAGGGCATTTGAAACTTAGTATCAATCAATTTCGACTATCCAAGCATAAGCTCAGTGTAACTAATTTAACAAATCTTCCACAACTATCTTCGTCGGTATTCAACAAGTACATGAAAAATTGTTATGAACTGATAAATCACTTTTCTTATGGATTTATGTATATATTGTTGTAACCCTTCGATAATTCTTTCAAAAATTTTTCAAAAGCCAGGAAAACTGTGAAAATATCTCGACTAACTCCCAAATGAATTCCAGCTAATAATGTATTATTTTTCCATTATGCTGATTAAACAATTATTGGTTTTTGTTAGAGAAATTTCTAAAACTCTAAGATCATATTTAATCCTATAAATAAGCTTGTTGTTTTGCAAATGAACTAATCCTAAAAATAAAGCTTCTCTCCCTTTCGGATTTTGTTTTCCCCTGGGATTCAACCATAGAAAATTACCGAAGACCTACTAAGAAGTTCGGAGTGTCTAAGCGTACACATAATAAAATGTAATCTTATACAAACGGTCCAATCTAATCAATAAACATAATTTCTGTGATAATTTTGCCTCTGTTTTGTTTGTAATATTTCTCATACACCACTGAATTGAATTAGCCTTTCAGTATTTGTATGTATAAAACTTATCTTTTCAATTCATTTATAGTTACTGATATTATTGTTTTAGTTATCTAACGATCTAATGGAGTTATATAATCAATTTCACTTGAAATCAATAATTTTCGAAGCTAACAAATACGTTTCAAATCTTGAAAGTTGGTTCTTTATTCAATTGTTCAGCATTATTCACTTTTATTTCCTATAAATAGCCTATACTGTCGAATTATATATAGATAACTTAGCCAAACATATTATTGAACATTGTCAACCGAATCAAGTAATTCCAAGTGTAATTATCAATTGTGGACGTCTTCAAAGTATGGCAGTTTTATTACCGTCTCCAGGTGTTCATTCATTCACTGGGTAGGTAACTTTTTATTTTATCTTTCTCATGTCATATATAATTGGAATGATTATCATTTACGAAAGTTGTGGAGATTGTTGAGTTTTATTAAAATCACAAACTAATCTCAGACAATTGTTGAGAACCTCAAAGGACTGAATAACTGAGATTCTTCGGCAGTGCACATTCACTACCGTGTCGGATTTAAGTAAGGTATCCATCGCTTGTCGTTGCATAAACAATGTGGCTCAACGTTGAGTCAAATATTTTACCTTAGGCCACAAAATGTTATTTTTAAAAAGTTCAACTGGTATTATGTGTCCGTGTTGAAGTTTTCCTACGACACTCACTCGCCTAGACTGATAAGTTGCGTTTATTCCAAAGATTGATATTATAATTTAATATATTACCATGTGTAAATATTGTTATTATTGATAGATTGAACGATTTGGCAAAAAATTCACTTTGTGTGGAGATCTTCGGTTTCCTTAATCTCAGCGATTTAAATAATCCACCAGTAAATGGACGTTTCACAGTGGTTAGTCGAACAGGTAATTTATCATTTTAGTATGTATGTTTCACATCATTGGGTTGTGTTACAGTTTGATCCATTTTTTAGCACAGTCTTATTCGTCCGTTTAATCGGGTCACTTGATTATAGTGTCCACTAATTACGAATTCGCTTATGTCAATCGGTCAAGTGGTTTTCCATTTTGCCAATAAAATGCAGTAACTGGACATCTTAACTCCTGTTGGTCCATGCAGCTCTAATATGTAAGTGGCCAATCAAAAGATGAGGTTGGGAAGTAGTTATCATAACTCAAACTCACTCATGACTTTATATACATGAATTATTAGGCCACGACACACCCCAAATAGGAACTTCTATTCTATACATAATCAAGCCATAAATGATAGAGAACGAGACAAAGGCTTATAGACCAAACTGCATTGTTCTTCCGACATTTGCCTGACTAAAGCATACACCGATTTCTTGACGCTTGACTGTCGTAATTGCACTGGGAAACAATTCTCAATAGCAATATTGGTTAGGTAACTATCCGACTGCAACCACCTGTCACAAATTGACTGTATGTTCACATCAGTATTACTGTGTGTGCAGTAGGCCAATATGTGACGACATGGCATTCCGTTTTCAATATGAAAACTACAAGAACACTGGATGGTATTACGGTTGACCGTGTAAATGCCTGTTGCGTCAACAGCCGTGAACAAATCAACGGACATTACAACCTCAGTTATAGGAGTGCGCAAGTGCCGCTTCAGTAGTTGACATGCAGCTGGTGTCAGTCGTTCCTGAAGATGACGTACCTGTGGCTCCCGACCGATATTTACATTTTTGAGACAGTCTGATGTATACTTTTGAAGTCGTGCTTCCATCCAATATCCAGTGCGAAGTAGCACACTGAATATAGATCTCAACACAGGTGTTTTTCGATTCAATTTATGCATCTTCAAAATTTGATGAGTTATCTCAACGAAGTTGGTATTATTTTGTTGAAGTAGCGTCGCTGATTGTCGGAAAGCAGTTGACCACTTTTGTTTTTTCAGCAGCAAGTGATCTCTCACATATCGGAAAAACGTTTCGTCGGATGTTTCGATTAACTACAAATAATTGCTAAAACTAAGAAATAATGTTGTGTAGATTTTGACTTACCTTTCAACCGTTCGAGTGAACATCAGACGAAATAAGTTGTATCACTTCTGATCTTACCCTCTACAATGACGGTAAATGGATTAATGTTAAGGAACGAAAGACTTACCCTCTTTACGACATTGCGAATATGCTGTACACGACACAAAATGTGGTGGGCATTTGGATACACCTGCGTGATGGCAGCAGCTATTGCAGGTGAATCATCTGTCACAATGCCTACCACCTGTCGATTGTTGGTTGACCGTTGGAAGAACGATAGGAATCGAAAAATTAAAGTCGATGTTTCGCGACTTATAAGTGCAATACAAACGGGTATTGCCATAACATTCATATCAAGGGCTACTACCTGATATAAATATACGTTCTCGTTATTTGTCTTGTACGTCCCGTCAAAACCGATGACATCACAAAAAGGAGCTGCCAAATTAATTTGATCAGCAGTCGTGAAGAAAAAACACGATAGACAATTTTCTTCATCTAATTCGTATTCGCAAAGCCCACCTAAAGACGTTATGTGAGCTTTTAATTTGACGTAATCACCTATCGTTTACATTATAAATAGGCAGATTGCTTACCAGGAAGGTTGGGGTGTGAGAACACTTTGTACCGCATATTAAATATATCTTGATCATTCAAATGCTTTCCATAAGAATGGTAAGCAAAGTGCTTAATATCGAATGCTGCGGTCCTAGATATCAGGAGCGGTCGCACAGTTTCAAACTCTGCCTCCGTTAACCTGCGCACCCAAGAATTACTGTCGTACCTCAGGGAATTGCACTCGTGATTGTGATGCACATTCCCACGTACAACAGTCCAGTAACCTTCTATCAACTTACAAAAGATGAAGGCCGGACATTGAGTGTTCATGGAAGTCCTTCGTGAAAAAAATGTAATAACACTAATCAAATTACCTCCTCCGTCTAATCCGCTGTGACGAACCGCTAGGTGTTCTACGGCCATTTCTCCAACATACAAATTTTATATAAGAGTTCTGATCTATGTGGAAATGAGAATCTTTCACCACATAATGGCAGTACGTAGATCTTTTACAAGTTCTGATAGCGCACTTTAACGCTTCAACTGATTGGAACGCAACGAGAAACAATGTAGTCAAAAATACGTTCTCCGTTTCTGTGACAACATGAGAAACAACAGCGCTTGTACATGGCACGTTACTCTCCTCCATAATTGTGATTAAAATGTACTTTCTCGACAAGTTGTTAGCGGGACATAGACTAGATTAAAGCATGCTCAATGCATGATTGCTTTGGTGCACGCTGATAGGCTAATTCTTATCCAATCAGCACTGGCCGATAGTTGGAGAATACTCTGGAATCTTCTTATGTAAAAACTATAAATATGCTGACGTTTTCCCTATTGTGCTTCTGACTTGCTTCTTACTTCCATCTAACCTTGTTATTTGGAATATAATCTCTTTCCTGTTCAACCGTGTTTTGATTTGGGGACTTGTCGAGTGAATCGGTGTCCGAGAATACTAAGCAATAGGAATAGCTGGGTCATAACCGTAAGAAAGAGAGTTATAACACAAGTACTGACATTTTATAACAATTTTAAGACAGAACTAACCAATTATAACGAATTTAAAACCAGCCATTTAATTGAACGAAACGGGATGAAAAAACTTTTTTAAAAGGGTGAAAAAAATTCATTAAAAAAATACAAAAATGGCCGGTCGTTTATTGATATTTCCTTTCTGAACAATGGCAGGGAAAACGAAATCAATCCTATAAGAAGGGTTAGTTATGTTTGTGTAATTTGTACAATGTCATAATTGGTAGTTTCCAAGGTAGGTAGGTTTAAAGTAATAACCAGTCTGGGACTAAGTGAGTGGTTGTCGTTAAACTCAAATATCATCTCAGATCGCGATTAAACAGTTTCTGGATTCCAAATCCAACTGTTTAGAGGTAACGTTCCTACTGAATACAAGTACAATTTCAGCGTATTACCCGTTTTAAGTAAGGGGTATCGAAATCAGTATTACCAATACTACTAATAATAATCGGTGGATAAAATTACAACAGTAGTTCTGATTTCAGTCATTTGTAAAATTCTGCCTTAGTTTTTACACAGTGGGAATTTTCTAAGTATTTTCAAGTGATATTCAGTGGCGGTGTTTGTTGGTAGTGGATTCTATCTCATTTAAGATACTAAGTGTATAATAACTGTAGATCTACTGAGGCAAAAGCTGTTGTTAAACAGTCGTTTAAACTTTATTGTGATTAGCCATTATTATTATTATTATTATTATTATTATTATTATTATTATTATTATTATTATTATTATTATTATTATTATTCGTATCAATACTGGTGTTAGACTTGATAATTTCCAATAAACTGGGCATTGTCAATCAGTTAGTCGCAATGTAGGATATGGTACGTATGTACAGTGGTTCAAGTTGTCATACCCTGCTAACACAGAGATGACATTGTCAGGCCAAATCTCATAATAGTAGAGTTAGTAACAGTATTAATAGTAATAAGAAGTATTAGGCGTCGAAGATATGACACAAATTTAGAATCTGAGAGAAGACAAAAAAATGAATGCACTTGTACTGTTCAAAATGATTATAAGCTATATCATTCAAAATTTCTAATTACTGGTTCCTATGATCATGCGAAACCCGACCAGGCAGTTTATACTCATTAACATAGGTCATTTCAATTGTCAATAACTTCATGGACTGGTGCCATGTTTTGCTTTGCCCGCTACTATACCAGACAACATCGCTCGTCGAAGCAGGTATTGAGTAGAATGTTTATCATGAAATAATGATATATTTCCTATGCTATCCAAATGAAATGAGTAGAAATTTGAGCTTCTGACACTTCATCAAAAAATGAATTACACTAACATAAGTTTAGATCGTACAAAAATACAGAGAAAAAAATAGTTTTAGTACAATCAAAATCGGTTTGATCATGTCAATGACATGTCATTCCGGATAAGGTGGTGATGCTGTGTATATGTATGTGTTAGTGGGTTTGAAAAATGTCATATTTGTATTGTGGAAGAGTGAAGTTAGCCATATATTTAAATGTTTTTTAGTGATGTGAACACGATTAAATGTGTGAATATTTAGATCAATCGTCTATGTTAGATCGTTAGACCTCCCTTCTTATCAGGTGCGACTAGTATCTAGCAATATACGGAAAGCTTCAGCCAGTTGTTTTTCTTCATAATTAAAAAAAATCCATTTTGGGTTATTTCGATATTGTTAATATTGATTTGTAGCTTTTCTAGGTCTACATGAATATGTGGAGGTTTTTTAGTGTAGCTTAGATGTTCTTTGGTACGAGTCATGATCTCTTGGGAAAACTGTTCAATGCAGAATTCTTCGCTACATATATATCCTGGTTTGTTGACATAATTCTGTGTCGAAATGATGAAGGATTTTATCTTTCTTATTTGAAGTAAAGCATTTTTATAGAAAGCTTTAATTATGTATGGATTTAAGGATGTCATACTTATTGTTCTATGACAGTATATTAGGACTACATTACTAATGCTGTAGTGGACGCTACTTAAAAGATTGCTTGTAAATATTATGTTGCGGAACGTGGCCTTGAAGTTTTAGGACAGAGTGATGAGTTTCAATACAGCGTAAACATGGCGTTGGCAGAACACTTGGAGACTAAACGAGAAGATAGTTCAGATTGCAAAACACACCGGAAGATGCAAATGGATTTTTGAAGGTCATGTATATGTTTTACTCTTTGTAACTTCTCATCATAAATATAGATTCCTCCTGTCTATTGTCTTCTATTACAATTTATGATAGTTCATCCAGTTTATTATTACTGTTTAATAAGAGAACATTTCGTTTACGTATATATGTATAAGAATATTCACAGGAGAAAGTTGACTAATCGTAGAATGTTGATTATTTGTGTTAATTTAATTCACTTATTTATTTTCACTCTGAAGAAGTGACTTATACTACTCTATAAGCTCAAATATCTACTCATTGGGATAGTATCGATAAGACTATATTATACCGACGACTTTCAGTGAACCAAATCAGAATTAAAGTTAACGTTTCTAGGTTTATATATAATTTTTCAAACGCAGTAGCAGATAACCTGTTACTTGTACAGATAATGTTGATAAGACTACACATTAAGGCCGGTTTAGAAGGCGATTCAATAGTACAGCACTTGCAGGTGATCTGTCTTCTGAGAAACTGTTTTGTTTGATTGTGGTCAGGAAATGAGATGTCTGGAGATTGAAGACTCAAGGGACGAGATTATTTTACGCTGCAGAGGATGCTGGTCGAAGAAATCTATAGACCATGGTACATTCTTTGGTGAGTCAAATCTGTCACTAGAAAATAACGGTTTTAATGTTTAAATGGATTATCGGAACCCAAGTCACGACTGCTTCAGCTCTAGCAGATATAGCTCGTGTTTTTGCAGTGTAGTGGTAACAGTACTGTGTAGATTTAAGGTCTAGGAGTTCTAGAGTTTGGAAGTTTTCAGATTCATTAATCATATCAATGCTCCTAAATCTCTGTGATTTTGATATTCCTTTGCATTTAGCTGGATTCGGACTGGTTGTTTTTCATGACCATCCCCAAGGTCGCTAAAGGTCGTCGGTATTGCATAGTTTTGCCATTGTATCAAAAATACATAATTGTTTCATTATTATTATTATCATCATCACTCTTACCATTGCTGTTATTATTATTATTACTGTTGTCTCTTATCACTTACACAATATTGTTGATTTTACTAGATCCATCTGATCCTGATCTTCTCTACCTACTTTTGCGATCATTACAAAATACAAAAACTGTTGCCATGTGCAATATTTACATTGTAATGAATAATCAATTAGCTCAGTCAATCAATTCAAGTACAATTTCAGTGTTGGATTCACACAATTCATCTAAACGTAATCTTCAACAACAACAGCCTGGTAAAAATTCACCGAACCATACTCTTTGGAGTCATGGTTATTTGCATCATATTGATATGAAGCAATCAATTTTAATGTTGTCAGTATTTGAACGAGGTTTGTTGTTATTAATCCAAATAATTTGATAATATTTTGATACATCTAATATTTAAACTCTTCGACATTGATCGACTTTTTAACCTCTTCACAGTCCTCAAAAGGTTTCTACATATAGATTTCAAGCAGAACTCTGAATACATAAAGGTTGAGACCATAATTTACGAACTACCGAAGTGACCTTGGGAAAATTCACTAACCCATTACGGTCTAAAGTGGGTTATAAAGTAGTGTGAGAAATCAGAATCGGCGTTTCTAGTTCGAAGTTAGTGTTAGGAATTGGAGTTACGGTCTTCATCACGAACTGACATAAGCTAAAATACTATTTAACCTTATGAATGAATGAATGAATGAATGAATTAGTCACTGCTCAGTGTTCAATCATTTTAAATACATCATAGATCAGTCGTGGCCCAAAGAGCTGAGTACTAACGTATGTGACCGTAAAGCTGAGTGATACGGGATCGAATCCATCAGGAAGCACTAGTTCTCTCAGGATTACAAGCACACCTTGGCATCACGTCTCAGATAGTACAAAACCTAGGTCAAGTAGGGTATTTTGTCGACTACCTCCAATCTCCACTTTAATTCAGTCATATATATTGCAGAATGTTATCAAACTAAACGATTGTTGCTGTGAATGGGGAATCGTAGTGAAATAATCATTATAAGGAAAACCCAACATGAATCAAACAACTAGATACAATCGATATACACTTAGAGTTAATGCATATAAATCATGAAAATGCTTTGAAAGTTGACTAGACAAAGATCAACTTAAATCAATATATGAAATAACGAATGTATATCCCCCAGCAATTAATTGATCCTTTTTTGTTTTTGAACTGTTTCATTTCTCAATGGCATTTTGTTTTTATTTCAGAATGTACTGGTTTACCTTGGCTTGGTAATTTTAGTCATTTAGCACCTGTAACAGATTTTGCCGGTTCTCAATTATACGATGATAAAAATGAAACTTCACCATTCCCTGTTCGAACACCGGATCATTTGAGTTATAAAATTGGTATGTGTTTACACTATTTTATTATTCCTCTGGCTTATTTTTCTCTCAATCTGTATTGTGCAATGGCTAATCAGATTTGTGTGATATGAATGTGGACAATTATACATTAGATAGGCTAGGAGTTGACTAACAATCATACATGTCTATCGTACACTCGCAAAACTCATTGAACTGGGTTATTATAACATATACATATACTGTCTTTATTGGCCCAAGATCTGACTCCAGGTAGATTGCTATTTGTTATCGAAGTACATATTCCGCCAATCCTCGTATATAATTATCGACTTAGTGAATAACGGAATTAAGATAAGTCAAACACGAGAATGGAGTTTTGAATACGTATATTTTATACAACCGTTGATCCGAACAGGCAATCAGAAAATCGTAGCGAAGAGGAGAGAGCAGAGCGAAACGAAAGGATGCAGAGTGGAGAGGGCGAGTGAGCCAACTCAATCTAGCTACGGACATATATTATGAGTAAGATAAGAAAAATACACACATACGCTTATATAAAAACAGCCAAGGTCGATAAGCGAATGAGTGACGGTGAAAATGGGGCTTGAGAAGAATGAACAGATTGATCTGTCCAGTATAACTTATATGGGCTTGACATAGTATCAGCCCTTTCAGTTAATCTAACTTATGACTGGTGTCCATATTCGGTCTGTACACAATTTGGTTCTGTGACATCCTGAAAGCCAGTCTGCATAACTCGGTTTAAAATAGTGATTTTTATGACTCGCCCAATGTTAAACTTCTGGAAACTACCTCGAAATTATGTTCAGTTTGACCTACGATAATTCCCGATTACGAATAATTAAGATTGTTTTATTACAATGAAATTTATTGCGCTCTTGGCAATCCAGCAACTGACATACGTAACATTTTAACAATAATCTGTAAAAGCGGAGACTTAGAAAAAAGTCGAGAGTGAGGAAAATATCTGAAATTCAACAAAGAAATTGAATTAGAGCAACTCTCTTCTCTCTCTCTCTCATATATATATATATATATATATATATATATATATATATATATATATATATATATATATACACGCAAACTAACGGTGTCAACAAACAGTACGAAAGAAATAAAGATCATAGGGAAATACGGATTATCATATTTTTAAATCATAAACCAATCTACGTTAAACAACCACCGGAAACCTGATAGCCTTGGACGGCCGTTCCAGCTTAGTATGGGAATTCTCGGATGCGGAGTCGTGGGTGAGGACTGTTGAGTAGTCTTATTCTAGAATGAAACAGCCGTCCAGTGCTTCCCAATTTTTTAATGGTGATGTCTAGCTAAAATCTATAATCTCCACAAACAACCCTCCTTATACAAATATAGTTTGGAAAAACGTTATTTCAGTTATCGTCACAGAAAAGAAATTGATATTTACCAACAAAATATTGAATAACTTGAATTCATTCTAGCTCCTTCATAAATCTTATGACTGAACGCTTGAACGTGTTTCCTAAGCTCTTCCAATAACATCAGGCTAAATCCACATGACAAATCGAACACGAAAGAAAAGGTATGAATTGTGTAAAAACTCTTTACTCCAAACTTAGTTTACTTACAAAAAATCGAGGGTATTTATAGCACTTAAGATGGCCTTGGGCTTCTGGAAGGTTCTGGAACCCTACTGAACATAATAACAGGATGGGGAATCATCCCATCAGAAATGTGACACGTGACTCTTCACTCTCTAGATGTTTCTGAGAAACTTCTATTGGATGTTGATTGGGTAGAATGTTTCCTAACGTTTTCATGACCCATCTGGGCTTTATTCAAGGACCTCCTCAACACTGTTTATCTAACTTTCATTCCTATCACCCATTTCTCATTTAACAGTTTATCTAATTTATAGTGATAGTAATGATTAGGGGGTTCGTTTTTAACTCTTTTTTCTTTTCAAAAAAATGTTTTAATAAAGATGGTTCACGTTATGTTTCTTGGGCATCACAGTCAGCAATGCTTATGGATATTAATAAAGTGCTTCGACTAAGTCGGCGCCTGCCGGATAAATCTGCATTACTTTATAAAGTAAGTAAATTCGTTGTTTTAATTAATTGTGTAATTTTTTGAAGAATAATTAAGTGAAATCGATCAACCTGCCTGCTGCTAATGATTAATTAGGTGCAATTATTGTGAACTAAGCACATAATTTTGAATTTGATTAGGGTTAATTGAATTTTGTATAACCATTCAGGTCAGCGCGCCGGTGTACTCAACATTTCGACGAGGAGCGGGGCACAGACTGCAACAAAGAGGAAAGCGGTGAGCAGAATGGCTGTCTTCCTCTTCGCCCAGTTTTAGATATGTATAATTCGCCTTATCATAAAACTGCAAAGTGGTTAGATCGAATCCTAGATCCCTTACACAAACTAGTCATCAACGGAAGCGTGGAAGACGTGTTCGATTTCATTTCTAAAGTGGAACATATGAACTTAAATGGGAAACGGATGATATCTCTAGATATTGCTTCCCTGTTCACCAATGTACCTTTAATGGAAACTATTGACTTTGTATGCCAACATCTACATGAAAAACAAATTCTGACTGTTCAATCTGATGTTGTTGTTCTTTTTCTTTACAGGAATTAAATCGACTTCGTTTTGCAGCAACTGTTTATGGATGTCCAGAATTGTTATTACAAATTCATTCAATGATTATGTCTATTCATCATCAGTCAAACAATAATAATAATAGTGATAATAATACTGTTGTTACTGGATCCAATGAACAAACTAAATCATTACAAACTTGTTTAAATAATGTAACTGATATATTACTTAAACAGGAATCATATACAAATGATATCTTGTCACCTGATAAAAGGAAACTATTCTAAATAATGAGTTAATGATGAATTATGAATTATTGATTTATTTTGTTTTAATAATTACATGTACATATATGTAAAAAAGAAATATATATATATTTTTTTTATCAGAAGGGGTTTTGCGGAAATTTAAAAAAATTTCACTAGTTGAAATCATGAGTCAATTGAAGCTAGACCACCATGAAAAACCTGGAAACACTGGGCGGCCGTACTGGGACGAAACGGTCTTCCAGTGCTTCCAGGTTGTCCACGGTGGTCTAGCTTCAATTGACTCATGATTTCAACTAATGAAGTATATATTCTTGCGAACATTTACACTCTTATTCAATTTATATTTAGTATCAGATGGGTTTTGTGGATATTATAGTAATTTCAATGGTTAAGATCATGAGTCAGTTGAAGCTGGACCACCATGGAAAACCTGGAAGCACTGGAAGGCCGTTTCGTCCTATTGTGGGACTCCTCAACATTGCGCACCCTCGACCTCGCCCCCTGCGAGATTCGAACCCAGAAAGTGCTGGTTTCGCGCGCGAGCACTCAACCACTAGGCCATTGAACCGGAATCCAACGGTGTAAATGTCTAACTTCAACCAATCCATGAAATTGAGCGACACATCTACCATTGTCTTCAGTGAGTTGCTATCTCACAACAGACTCAGTTGAATTCCACTGATCACTGCTTCTCAACAGAACTCCAGGAAATACCTCTTGGAGACCATCACTAGTGAGCATATGTTGATTAATACCAGATGGGTTTTGTGGAACCAGTAGGTCCTGGGTTCGAATCTCGCAAGGGGCGAGGTCGTGAATGCGCACTGCTGAGGAGTCCCACAATAGGACGAAACGGCCTTCCAGTATTTCCAGGTTTCCCATGGTGGTCCAGCTTCAACTGACTCATGATCTTAACCATTGAAGTTATATTTAGATTTGTGAATCTTCTCATTGATGCTCAGGACTATTACAATTTCGATAAAGTTTTATTCTCTGAATTGGATGATTTAATCGTGGATAACAATAAAATCTTCATGATCAAACTATCCAACTTTGAGAATAAAACTATCAAAATCATCGACTCGACCTATAAACTCCCACCATCTCATTACTACAATTAATTAGTCTCTTATTGATATATGTGTATTTTATGCGGATTGTTTCGATAATTGCCATTAAGTTACAAGTATTTAAATTAATTGTTATGATAAGAAAACGATCTTCATGTTGTAAGAAAGTTTCTCTAATAACTATTTTTGCCATGCAGTTACATTATGCTAGTCAGTCAGCTACAACGTGGGACCAGGCACATATATGCATCGGTCCAAGTTGCCATACCTCATTAACACAACAAGATGGACACTGGATTCATAAAAGTAGTTAATTCAGAGGTGGTAATATATAAAAGAAAGATTGCAATAAGGATATAGTACAGGAAGAAAGAATTAGTTGATAGAAAGATATGAAGCGATTTTAATCTCTTAGTTTAAGGGAACACAGAGAGTGTATACACCGACGCCATTGTGATCGATTCAGAGCCATGTCACCAAGAGTCTCCAATCATTGGTTACGATAGTCACGCTTAAGTTTGTAGATTGATAATAATCTTCCAGCTATTCCTAAATTACCTCTTCAGGTCTTTTAGGCTGTTTATTTAAGAGTTGTGCAAGGTTTCAGAAGATCTAATCACACAATCTATCAAGTAATTCTAGTTGATGAAGTTTGTTGACTGGGATAGAGTTGAGTATGATTTTTCCTAGTTAAATAGGATACAGTTTATATTTACATTTTGCAAATAAGCGTTTGGTATAATCTGAAACATACAAAAAGCGGTAAACCTAGAAATACATGAGGTTCTTACCTATTTTTTCCCTTTTTAAAATAGTAATTGACCTCTCAGTAAAATGCATCACTATATAGTTTACTATTAAGTAGCTGAACAATGTTAGCCGTACTCAATCTTACTAGAGATTTATATCGTCTAACGATCCACAATCATAATACCCCTAAGTGTGTTACTATGAGATATTACTATCGCTGGGAAACATTTTATCCAACCAGCATTCAATAGTTCTTCAGAAACATCTAGAAAATGAAGAGTCACGTGTCACATCTCTGACTGGATGGTCACCTATCCTGTTACTATTTTTAGTGGGATTCCAGAAGACCAAGGCTATCTGAAATGCTATAAATACCCTTGATTTTCTGTACGTAAACTAAGCTTGGAGTAAAGCGTTCTTTATACATTTCATGCCTTTTTTTCGTGTTCGATTCATCGTGTAGATTTAGCCTGATGTTATTGGAAGAGTTTAGGAAACTGATTTAAGCGTTCCCTTATAAGATTTATCAGTACCATACGAAAGGAGCTAAAATGGTGCAATTTCAGGGTTCTGATTGGTTATTATGGACCAATCAAAACATTGTCAATAAAGATCATAAAATAGTGATTTGTTTAAACCATATATTTGTGTTGACTATCATTACTATTCCATTATAACATTGATAACATGATTTCATTCATCTAATAATTGTATTCAGAGTTAAATCGTAAATGATAAAGCCATAAACGTCGTTCAAGTTGTTCATGATTGAAATCTTCTTGATATTTTGAAATACTTTTAATTCTTTGAGTTTGATTTGATAATATCGGTTGATTTAGTTGTGATGGTAAATTTGTATTACAGAATAGTATACAACTTATTCCTTTGTTGTATGGACATGTTGTTATAGAATGAACATTACCGAATCCCTTGAAAAGAAAATAACGAAATATTTCAATAGTATTATAGTTTAATCAAAGAGGGATTTTGTGGATATTATAGTAATTTAATTGTTGAGATCATGAGTCAATTGAAGGTAGACCATCATGGAAAACCTCAAAGCACTGGACGGCCGTTTCGTGCTATTGTGGGACTCCTCAGTGGCAGTGTACATTCACGATCCCGCCCCGCGAGATTCGAACTCAGGACCTATCAGTATTATGTTTAATGATGGAAGTTGGACCCGTAAATAAATGAAATACTCACTTATCGATCGATATCAGTAAAAGTATCAATATATGATGGGGAAAAAAAACTCGATTTAACAAGATTAACCTTCAATAATTGACTAATTGAGAAATAATTTTCACAAACTTTTTTCCTACGAATCGTCAGAAATGATTGTGTTCTGTATGACTTGATCATTTTCTCAATATTGCATAGTCTTTAGTTCACTAGAATTGATACATATGATCCATATAGTCAGGATTAAAGGCATTTCTTGATGACAAGTGTAGATTAAAATAAGATTTAGATTTAGGGTTTCATCCTGATTACTTTCAATGATCTGATAATTTTATAAACTAGTAACAAATCATTCTGATCAAGTACTTTCGAGTATTGAGCAAAATTATGTGTATTTCTAAAGAATGAGGCGTTTGGTATTGGTGAATGACCACATATATGGTAGATTTGGTATGGTCCATGAATTTCCTTTCTCAATCTGTCTTTTCATTCCAGTAGCCAGTTAGGCTCATATATAGGTAGGCCCCCAAATGTCCTAATACGACCGAGAGCGAAGAGAGTCCACTTTCCCTCTCGAAATTCTCTCAAATGACCATGCGTATATAGCCTCTGCCAGGGAACTCCTACTCACTGACTTCTTGTGGCGGGGGTGCTGTTTACGAAATTGAGAGGACAAAAAGCGAATGTCCGGCGCTTTAACCGGGTTGGTGGACACGCAGAGTTTACCTAGGGGAGTTGGAAAACCCAGATTCCAAACCAACGGTGCACATGGGCTCCAGTATCCTGAGGGAACAAATGGCGTATGAACCAGTCGTTAGTCACCGGCTACCATGGGACTGCCTTGTCGATCAGATCTTTAGGTCGATGACTCTGGGTGTGGTCTCCTACGGAAACCACCTGGTTTGGTTCGGGCACCCAGGCAGTATCACAGCCCCTCCCCCTTGTACCAATATCTGTGTGTCCAAATAGATAAATATATAGGTTGAATGTATATCAGTATCAACTCTTGGACAATGTATATTTCAACAAAACCACCGATAAGAAACTAATAATCTGGACTTTTTTTTTCTTTTTTAAAATAATAACTTACTGTTTTCCATTGATTTCTGATTTCACCAATTAACTCTTGTGAATTAAAATCAATAATTTCCACGTATGAATTATCTTCATTAGGTGTAGAGCCCACAAGAGCAAATATTAATTTAGCTAAAGAAAATAGTTGATATATATATGTACAAATATGTAGTGAGATGAATTAGAGAATACAAGTAAATAGTTAATTTGTAATGATGAAAATGTATTTTCACAATTCAGATAATTGCTTATGTCAGTATTGATGATGTTCTATGTTTTTTATAGTCCATAAATGGATTGATCAATAATATTTTAATGGATGGGTTCATGAGTCGATCTAAGTTAGATTACTATTGTAAATTTGAAAGTACTGAACGGCCGTTTCGTCCTAGTATGGGACATTTCAGCAGTGCGCATCCACTATCTTGCACGCTTAAACACCTGCCACTTTGACTCGGTCAGAACTAGGTGTGGTCTATCTTGATCGAACTGCTAATCACTGAAAAGTCTATCTTTATTAAAAGTATAGTTGATTCTTGTAATGATTCATTTATTTGCACTCCCCATTTTAATGTTTGGTATGTAATTTTATTCCGTGAAGTTAGATTGTGTACCGATCAAATCGTGACACGTTTCGTTCTATTTGAGACTCATCTTTAGATGGATGCATCCTGAGGTTGATGTTCACTCCTGAATGAGCCCCAAATAAGACGAAACTCTCATCCTCCACCCTACTGCTAGGTACCATCTATCTTTGCTTATAATTATCAATCCTAGATAAAAAAAAAGATTGCAACATAAACTGATCCGAGATTTCGGATGCCAAATGGGGATGTGTAATAATCAGGTGATTAGAGAAGAATGGGAGGATGAGAAAAATTTACGGGTCAGAATTATGATACATAACCGTCCACTGAACCAGATCATGATTCAGTCTTTTCTATCGTTCCATAGACACATATATTTACTAAACAACTATAAATACGAATGTTCAGCTTAAGCAAATGATTTAATCGAAAATGATTATTCATAATTTTATTAAACAACTATTAAATACTTAGATTATTGTATTATTGTATTCCCTATATCGTAGGATTTCAGTTGACGCGTAAACTACTCTCATATGTTTTACATTTCATAAATTGCCCCCAAATGCCCTGGTACGGCCGAGAGTGGGAGAGTCCGCTCTCCCTATCGAAATTCTCTCACATGGCCACGCGTATACAGCCTCTGCCAGGGAAGTCCTACTCACTGACTTCTCACGGCAAGTGTGTTGTTTACGGAAATGAGAGGACGAAAAGCGAATATCCGGCGCTTTAACCGGATTCCAAACCAATGGTGCACATGGGCTCCAGTATCCTGCGGGAACAAACGGCGTATGAACCAATTGTTGGTCACCGGCTACCATGGGACTGCATCTCCATACGATGCTCACTGCCTTGTGGATCAGACCTTTAGGTCGAAGGCTCGGGTTGTGGCCCCCTAAGAAAACCACCTGCTTCGATCTGGGCACCCGGGCAGTATCACAGCCCTCACATATATCGAATGAGATGTGTGTAGCGTATATATATTTGGTGCCTCATTGTACCAATATCTATGTGTTAAATAATATATACCTTGTAATTTCCTATTTATGTTACTATGTAGTTAGGTATTTAACCGATATTACAACGTGAGCTTTCAGTTGCAATGGATAAATATGTAATAGGAGTCTTATCCTCTTTCTAAGTTTGCTTTATAATTCGATACCGGGTTAGAGAGAAGTTACTTTATAGACTAACAACCATACGACTTCTCTCAGTCATTACACGAGATTATTTATCGTCGGTATAAGAGTGTCACTGGTCAAAATCAAGTCCAGTAGTCTACAAAGCGTTAACAATATTTAAGTTAATGGAATATATCTAGTGATTCAATCATAGAACATGTGAAAAAGATTCAAGATAATAACATACTTGAAGGTTCAATGGCGATGCCATAGATTGCTCTCATCTCTGGTTGTTTGTACTCAAATAGATAATCACCGGTACTATCTGATGTTGTCGAATATAAACCAGCTATGTAGCATACAATACGTTTGTTTTCTCTGTCTGCCACACATATTGCATCTTCTTCTTCCAATAAAGATAACTGATGCGGAATATTTAAATCATATGGTCCTGGAGATTCTGAATCTTTCAAAAATATTAAAAAAATTACAACATAAAGAATTATACACTACTGAATTAATAATGAGTAGCCACAGGTAGGATGCTTCTCGAAGATCTTCGTTTCATGAAGTGATCACATCTAAATTATTATTGATAATCAAGGATCACTGGGGCACAATCGCTTTTTCCTGATTTAGAATCACCCTCCAGTAGACAAGTGAATCTTTATCTTGAGTAAGTTACCATTTCGATCATTGAATTGTATCTCAATGTTTCGTATTCCCAGCTTTAATTAATTCGCTATATCGTGCAATTATTATCCACTGTCGTCAGGGCTATCCATACAAATTTCTGATCTTATTGAACTCCACTGCTGCTTACAGCTTCAAATTAGAACTACGAAAACAGAAAGGCATCGTCTATCATGTTTTCTATACACAATGCAACTGCTTTTTGAACCTGAACAAAAATTAGTCTCACCGTTAAGCTGGATATCATCATGAACAGTGAAAAGATTCAACGTAAGCATAAATGTCACTTTCTCATCAAGAAATTGTCTTAAAACTTTTTAGGCAATTAATCGTCATGAATTGAAAAATTATGTTAACTAATCAAAACTATGAAATGACCTTAACTAGGAGATAATTTCTGAATATCACGGATCGACTGAAGTTTTAATTTAAACCAATGGATGCCGACTCAGTGGCTTAAATGTTAAGCGCTCGTAGAGTGACTTAAAGACCCTAGGTTCAATCCCCATTGGAAGAGTTCATATGGATTACTTATACTAGGACAAAGCACCTGTGTAGTTTTTCTTGACTGCTAATGGTTGTTTGACCAGAGTGAATCCGTGATAGAAACTACCAAATTCAACAATCTCTCCAACCTTCTTATACACTTTTATAGTAATTTAAAATTTCTCAGAAATTTACACAATGAACCTTAAACTTAAACTCCAATATCTCATTGGAATTAAAAACACAATTCAGTCATTCAAAGTATAATTAAATGATTTGCATTTTTCCGTTTACGAGCATGTCAGTTTGTTGTACACCAGTGTACACTAGTATTGATGTTCACATTGAGATTTAAGCTGGACGAGGTGAAATCCACATAGTCTCTGAGAGACTGATAATTCGCGGGAAAATATAAATCCTTACATGTATAACTTCAAACTATTTGAAAAGGCTAGTTGGTATTAGAAATAAGCAGTCCAATGGTGATGATACATTAGGATTTAAAGCAGTAGTATAGGGGTTGTGGAGATCATTAAGTTTTTGATTGAGATGATGAACCGACTGATGTTGAACCACCATTGAAAACCTGAAAGCATTGGACGACGGATTTGTCCCAGTACGGGACTCCTGAGCAGTGCGCATCCACGATCTCGATCACGGGTTTCGAACCCAGGGCCTTCAGTCTCGCGCGCGAACGCCTAACCTACTGAGTCACTAGGGGACAATGTTTAGATACGATGAAACTTATGGTGGAATATGAGAAATTTACGGTAGATAAATACTTTTAACATAATTAAGGAAAGAAAAGTTAGCTTTTAATGATTAGGTGTCCGGTTAAAGTCAAGAATCAGAGTTGGGAGTGAGCTTTTAGAAGTGTTAAGGTTTAGTGTTAGGGTTAGGATTAAAAGGGTCAGGAGAGTTATAGTACTCAGTACTATGTTTAGAATATGAAGTGAGCATTTGAGACTACTTCATAATCCCACAAAAACATGCTGAACTAGTCCATGAATCTTATCATAGACACTCAGATGAGTATTTCTATCAATTTAGCTTACGCATCATGTCTAAATGATTGTGTGGTTGAATATAAACAATTATTGGAGACTAAAACTTTAATGTTAAAGTCTCAATAATACCCAGGAGGCCCATGATCGTCAAGAAACGTTTTATTCAATCAACGTTGAATAGTATCTTTGTGGAAACATCTAGAAAATGCAGAATCACGTGCCGCAGTTTTGATTGGGTATTTACTTTTTTCTATTACTATATTCAGTATAGTTTCGGAAATTAATGAAGCTCAAGGCGGTATGTAACTCTATAAATACTCTCGTTTTCCTGTAAATAAACAAACCTTCGAGTAAAGCGTTCTTTTCATACTTCTCGCCTTCCCTTTAGCGTTCCAGTTAACATGTGAGAGTAGTTGTAAATATTGGAACTGGCTAGGAAGGCAGTTTAAGCGTACCGGTAGCAAGACATATTATTTAAAACTAATTATGAACAAGTTGTATCTTTTTTTTTATAAGATACATCTTATTCTTCACTACGTTTTGAATGTTGCGCAAAGTGTATAGATACTGTTTCGAATCTGATTGGCCGTCTGACGTTCGTCACCATAATATAGTTTTAGAAATTACGTAACTAAACCATAATAAGCAAAAGGTGATGATAGTTCTTCTGAATACATGGATTAGGCTATAGATTCGAATCCTTTTAGCTTCTGTTATAATATAGTAGATATGATTAAGCTCCGTTAGGAAGCAACGTACCGATATGATCGATCATTTTTATTGAAAATATTACTTTTTTTCATGAGGGATATTTACAATAAAAACAATAGTTTCAATTACCTTTCGTTTCGTAGCCCCATGATTTTAGAAATTCTCCATTTTCATTAAATTTCACAATGCGATTATTACAATACCTAATAAAGGTTGGTAAATTTAAAATATCAGAAGGGGTTTCGTGGATATTGTAGTAATTTCAATGGTTGAGATCATGAGTCGATTGGAGCTAGATCACTGTGGAAAATCCGGAAGCACTCGACGGCCGTTTCGTCCTATTGTGGGACTCTTCAACAGTGATCATCCACCATCCCGCCTCGTGAACGAGCACTTAACCACTAGACTACTGAGCCGACATCCAACGGTGTTGATGTCCAACTTCAACCAATCCACGAAATTGAGTGACACATCCATCATTGTCATCAGTGAGTTGCTATCTCACAACAGACACGGTTGAACTCCACTAGTCACTGCTTCTCACTAGAACTCGCGAAATACCTCTTGGAGACCATCACTAGTGAGCATATGTTGATTAGTATCAGAAGGGGTTTTGTGGTGATTGTAGTAATTTCAATAGTTGATATAATGAGTCAATTGAAGCTAGACCACCGTGGAAAACCTGGAAGCACTAGACGGTTGTTTCGTCCTATTGTATGTTGTGTAAGATAAAGTAAAAGAATCTTTTTTTTATAAAAACAGTTCACTTTAGAGAACGACAAAAACAGCTTGTATGAAATCCATGGAGTTTTTTTGAAAAAAAAGTACACATCACAAACCGATCTTAATTAGATAACCACTGAAAACTAGAAAGCATTGAATGGTTGTTTCATCTTAAAACGAGATCCCACAGTGGTGCATACCCATGAATCACCAGGAAATTGAGATCAAGATGTTTAGGTCTTTCAACCAGTCAATAACCTTCAAGCTGTCGAGTCGGTATTTTGCGTTTTACTTCAACTGATTAACTTAGTAAGTTTACGTCTATTTGATTGTTAAATATATTTTATTTATACTTGTAATAAGTTGTGGTCATAATTGAAATAAGTAGTTTGCAGAGTCTAAGTGTCAAATAGAACTTGACAGTCATGAAGTCATATAAATATTTCAGTAGTCAGAGACTGTTGATTTGAAATTTAATCTATCCTCATATTCAACACATTAGATCAACGATTACAGCTAACACATACATAAATGAAAGCAATACGGTAGATAGAATAGATGGATAGTTAATAAGAAATTCGAAAACTTAAATTTTACTACAATGTATATAAACAGAAGCGATTTTTAAATTATTTGTTTCTATCTATTACATGACCACTATCGACCAAGTGCGATAGAACAGAGCCACATATTGTTTTGATTATACCCTACCGTAATGACAAAGGTGTTCGCCAACTCATTGGCTCACCATAAACAAGAAACTAGAGCTCATTCGTAGAGTGTTAATTGATATGGGTTATCCATATGATTTTTGAAGAAACACTTGCATAAAGTGAACAGGAAGATAGAGGCATAAACAGATAGTAAGAAACCTCTCTTCCTAAAGCTACAATTCAATGGAGATGTAGCTAGTGATGTACTAACAATATATACTATATAAAGCAATGAACAGGCCATTTGATGCCGATAACCCCTGCTTATCACTTCTGAGATGACTTATGGTTACTCTTTAAGCAAAGTATAAATTACCGTGTTTTTCCACTTCCATATGTATCTACGAATCCAGTTGCTCCTGTGGAGAAAGCTATATTGGGCGTACAACCAGACATTTAATACAACAATTTAGTGAGCTTCTCTCTTCGTGGTTAGGAGAGGGATGATCAAAACAAGAGTAGTTTTTATCAAGGGCAGTGACATATAAAATGTTAATCGAAAATTTACAACTTAGTTTTGAGATATACTACAAAATTCGTACTAGTTCACTACGATTGTTGTTCACACTGTTTAAATTTTAATAAACTTATCTAGTCTATTTGAATGCAATTCAGTAGTCAACTAAGTGCAATGTCTTGTATTCGACTTGGTACCACATTGTATTGTGTGTGTGTGTGTATCTGTAGAGAAAGTACTTGTGACTCTATGTAGTTGACTAAATCAAAACTAAATTGAGTGTTTTAAAAATCTATATCAAAGGTACCAGACAACTGTGTTTCATTAAAGAAAAAAACATTTATAAAGGGGAAATATAACTAGATTTATTTACCCATCAGAGATAAAAACTTGTCCATTTGAAGAAACTACTACGTCCGTTGGTTTACAAAATTGATTTTCACTTGAACCAGGTTTAAAACGTTCACCAAGTGTTAATAGTGGTTCACTTGATAAATTTGACGAGAATTTAAAAACCTTATGTATAGAAACAAAAATTATTTAGGTCGTAAGATTCTTGTATTTTAAATATACTCAAGAGTAAAGATGGATAGTGGCTAGCAGTGGAATCCAGGACGCGCGTTTCGTCTTATTCGGGACTCGTCAGCTGGATGTGCCTGCATCCCAGTGGGAAGATACAAGTAAAACAACACCAGGTAAATTTATACTTAGGAGTAGTTAGTGTATTTTTTTCTTGGCTTGTTTTACTGCTTAAATTAACTATTGAATAACTAACTGTGAGAGTCCTAAATAGGTTATTAATAAGGTAATAAATGAATATGGTAGGGATAGAATTAACAGTTAGGATTAAAAGTTAAGGCTAAAAAATAGAGTTAAGTTTTTCATCACGAAACGACATCAGCTAGATTGTTGGAATTTTATGGGTGAATTTGTTCCAAGAATCCCAGATTCACTCTATCAAATCCCATTGGTTCGTCCATAAATTATAGTCCTGTCAACTAATTGTTCCCCTATTAGTTAAAAAAATTTGTTTACGCCATTTTTAGTCTGTTATTGTTATTCTTGATTGCTTTGAAGGTAGACTGTTGTTGTGTTCATCACCTTGCAAGTGAGTTTAATGTAAACAAATCATGATTTACTGTAGAACTATCGATTATTTTATTTATCCATACGTATTGATATTTCTGAAAAGCCAAAACAGCTTTTGGTTTCAACTGACCTTTCGTGCGTTACTATAGTGATAAAATAGGATTTATTACTGAATCAATGGCAAAATTTCAATAGAGATAACTATTGATAATCAACGATGATAGTTATTTATAATCTAATTGATAGTCATATGTGACTGGTTACATTTAAACAGTGTTGAATCTGATATATCGTGACATGTGCAGTGTTTATAAACATTAATGTTAACTTGAAGCAGAACTGGACTTTTTCCAAAAGCGTTAAATCAGTCGGTCCCGAGGGCATTGTCTGTGACTGGTTATTGTTACATCTTATTTTCTTCATGTGCTTTCAGATTCTAGTTGACTAGTTTGATTATTCGACGCCTGATCACGCAATTGAGTCATCTTATTAAATATAGGACTATAGATCGGATCAAGGCTGATATGTCCACTTATTACGCAATTGTGGGGAAAGCCCCCGGTGAATTCAAGGAAGCTCAGAAGGAGCTGAAGGCATTCCATCCAATCATCTTTTGGAAGAATGTTCCAGAATATCGACGTGTAGCTTCCCGATTGAACAAATGCTAAGAGCCACTGCATGCGGATTAGAAGACTGTAATGATGATTTCGTTCTCACTAAAAAGATATAAATACCTTAGTGTTTTGTATTATATTTGACACTGTTTGGAATAGGATTCCTCACTCATCTGCTGTCTTCCAACCTTCGACTTGGAGAGTTCTAGTGTTCGAATGCTCAAGCTGTACGTCGTATAGCAAGAATATAAGCTCTAGATATAACAAAACTGAACTAAGTACTCTGGTTCTACATGTTCTCAGTAATTCTTAGAAACACCTCGATCCAAAATTTTGTCATAAGTTTCCAATTTAATTCAGGATCATAGTTTCCTGTGTACATTTATACAAATGACAACATGTCATGCAATTTCGTTATTAGCTTCGAACCATAAAGTTTGTGTGTGTTTGTGGACTAGTTAACAGACCCATGTTTCCAGATCGAACTATTTAAAGCGCTTCAAGTTTTCAGTATAAATAATTTGATGAATCTTCAGCTGGTCTATAGTATACTTTTTTCTACTATGCCAATATAACTTTTTCGTCAGATATATATATATATATATATATATATATATATATATATATATATATATATACATAACACGAGAATGATCCATGATCATTTTCGGTTATGTCAATTGCATTAAAAAAACACTCCATTGAGTAGTTTAAGAAAGAGGTACTATTATGTACAGTTAAAAACTATACATTGAACCCTGATTAAATAGTTTATTTTTCAAGTTTGTTAATTCACCAAATAATAAGTATTATATCCCAATAAGAATAATGAATGGTAACTGTTGAGATCTATTTCTGAACTAATACTGCACGTATATTTTTATTGTATAATTTTTAAACAACTAAACTGTTCATATTCATGTCCCTGTTATTATGAGCTTTATTTTGATCCATAGACTATTATTATACGATTTACTGTTCTTAAGTTATGCCCAGTCTACCAATCATTATCTCCCTCATTCACAACCACATTTGGTTAATTCTTGTACAAATGTTGTTTCCTATTTTATGGTACGATGTGGTCTGTCTGGTTGGTATATAAACCCAGTGTGCTTGAAATAAATGATTCATAGCACGGGAGCTGAGATTGGTGTTCTGGACTTAACAGGCAGGGCTAGGCGGGAAGCAGGATCGGTGAGGACTCTAGACTGCTCGTACATGTTTTATGTATCATTGGTCGAATCGATAATTCACTGTTCTCTAATTGGTGGTATCATTACGTTATACATTAATAGGACACAGGGCACAAGTTATAACAATAGTAATAATAGCTATTATTGTTATCATTAAAGCTTAGCCATAAAAAATTAGCACATGAGTTAACTACATATAAAAAAAACAATTCCATTTTATAATATTTAGTTGATTGTTTCAAACTTACTTGATGTAAAGCTATATCTGTAATCCAGAAATTTCCATCTGGATCTATTGTAAGCCCATGAGGAAGGAAGAACCTTTATTTTTTGGGGGTAAAAGAGACAACAACAAATAACACGTCATTTTACAATTGATAATGAATACTTATTTTAAAACTTAAGACATATTCATTCTATGTATTTGACTGAGTTAGATCAAGAATAAATGTTATTGCTTTATTCTAATCAATTATCAATGAGAAATTGTTGAAGTATTTGCTATGAAATACTGAACTGAATAGTTATTGGTTGGTTTGTGACCTTGATCTTCAGTCAGTCAGTAACAACGTAGAACTTCGTACGCACGTACATCAGTTCGAGTTGCCATACCACATTAGCATAGAGATGCAGTTGTCGATTCAAATCCCGTAGTGATAGAGGCGGTAAGAGTATAAGCAGTAATCGGAAAGATTAGGGTTTGAAGAAGTTATTCAAAGAGTATAGTCCATTGAAATAAATTTGGAAAGAGAAAAAAAGAGACAAGGAGCATTCGGAAGATTAGAATTTGGGAGAACACAAAGAGTGGATGCACCTGCGCCACTGCAAACGATTCTGAGCCATGTCATTCAGGATCTCTAACCATCGGTTGCTATCATCTCGCGGTCCCCAACCAGGTAGTCTACACCTACCAACTTGTCTCAGTTCACTTGTCAGTGACTTCATGGACTTGTGACATGTTTTGGTCTGGCCGCCCCTAGCTTTCTTCCAACCTACTCCTATACCATAAAACATCGCACGTCGAGGCAGTCGGTCGTTGGGCATACGTAACACGTGTCCCAGCCATCTCAACTGATGAAGTTTCACTACTTTATCAATTGATTTTCCATCCTTACCTTGACCTTCAGTCTTGATTAATTATTAATCAATTGAAAATCAACACATAATCCTATTTTCACAGATTGAAATCATGAGTCAGTTGAAGCTAGACCACCATGGAAGACCTGGAAGCACTGGACGACCGTTTCGTCCTAGTATGGGACTCCTCAGCAGTGCGCGTCCACGAACTCGCACCCCGCGGGATTCGAACCCCTTCTGACATAATCCTATTATTTCTCATGAATAAGTGATAGATTTTATGGTGAGACTATAATTTATGGACAACCTTTGAGTGACGCTAAAGAGACTTTGAGAATGTCCACCTACATACTACGGCTAAATGAGGGTTATGAACCAGTGTGAGAAATTAGGATTAATATTTACAGTTGATAGTTACGGTTAGGAATCAGATAATAGGTTTTTCATAACGAACTGAAATCAGCTATAATGCCAAAACTCTATTTAGCCGAATGAATGAATTAATTTCGCGCCAAAATTCAAGACCTGTTATCGTAAATCTGACTGGTTCATCCATAAATTATAGTCTCACCATAACTATATTAAACATTTTGACAAAATACAGATACATTTCGACATTCAACACTACTTGTGTTTCCTTGATCTCAAATTGTAATTTAAAGTAGTTGTTCTATCAGTATTATAAGTTTATCTGTTGGATATGCGAAGATAACTCACTGTCGACCCTCGTACTGTTTATTTCCTACCTTCAAAAATAATTGCAAACCATTGTTCAGAAAATAGTTCGTTCCTTGATACATACATACTGCTGCATGGTCAGTGAAACTATGATGTGATTGACTCATAAGTGAAGACAAACAGACACTTAACTTACCAACTAGTAAATATGTGATTACCTTTTTATTATTAATTTCTACTCTAATCTTCACTGAGTCAAGACTGACTACAATTCTGTTGAATCGAGTACTGTTTAGCCTAATAATCTAGTACTCTATATCTAGTCACGGATCACAAATCTGGTACAAGGTGATTTCAATCTCTGAGAATAGCCTATCTACCGAGTATCTGGTCAAGTTTTAGCATAGCTTCATACCAGGCTTTTATCATCATATTATAGTATTATATCGTGGTACGACAGAAAATATTACTTACTTGAAAGGAAAATAGGTTCTTTTAATCTCTCCATTAAAGATTTGTACTAAAACTCCTTTTTGTATAGGTTCAGACTTATTGAGACGGTAATTATCTCGATCATCAAATGTACTATAAATAAAATAAAAGACAGAGATGGAAAAACTTAGAACGGTGATATTCTTTTCGTAAGGATTTGTAGTTTTTTGTTGTCAATATTCGGTATCAAAATTGTTCATTCTCTATAAAGATTTGTTTTTCCTGAAGAGTTTGGCTCGAGGATAGCCTTAATGCATCGAAGTTTTTTTCAGATTTGAACTGTAGATGACAGTGAAATCCAGTATAGGTGTTCTGTCCTCTAATGTTGTTTCCTTTAGGCTATTTAGTTCAGTTAGCCACTAAATTGTTGAATTGGTACGAAGTTACATATGCAGGGGTTTATATTTTCGCATTTATTAAGGTTCGGAATAGCAATTTATCAGTCTTTATTGACCTATGTGGATCTCTTGAGGGAGAATACATTAGGCAAGTTATAGGTACATTCAACCGTTGAAATCAATAAATAATGGACAAGTATTTTCTCTCAGTTCCAAAAATTCCACAGTTTCCTTAGTTTGATAATAATATTAATAATACTAATGCAAATGTTAATAATAATCTCTAACGAGTAACTTCCAAATGGATTTCGATGTTTCACTGAGAAGTTATGATCAATGAAGTTCATTGATCATCAAGCCTATTTTAAGTAAACATGACGTTTTAAAGAACACTTACCTCTATAGTTTAAATACTTGAAGTTATGATCATTGCATGTTATGGATAATCGTAAATCTTTATCTTGAGATTTGTAGCTCAGGTGGATGTTTTGGTGCAATTTTGTTCACTAAATTGGATGGTTTGGTTGTGGAGCTTTCATCGTTCTTCTGAACAATATCATCAGCACAAACTTCAAGTAATAGTGAATTGTTCGAATTTCCCTACAAATGACTTCCAGCTTGTCCTGTAGACCTTGATCTTGATTGGTTATTGTTGACCTTTAACCTGTCGTTGTTTACTTCTTTATTTTGTATCTTCCATTGATTTGAGTCATATGTGGAGAAATTCGAACGATTCACTATTACTTGAAGTTTGTGCTGATGATATCGTTCAGAGTAATGATGAAAGCTCCGCAACCAAACCATCCAATCAGAGAACAAAACTCCACCATAATTATATCTTGCCTAACTGTTTAGTATGTTACAAAATCAACACTGGGTGTATTATATTATGATTAAGAAAGATTAGTTTCCTTATGAGTCAATGGAAATCGAATGGTTCTTAAGAACACAAAGTGTAATGCATAGTTACTTGCTTAAGAAATAGGGATTTTTGAACACGATAAATTCAAGAATTCCTATGATCATCAAAACTATTGACATTCAAACGATAGATAAGAAATTTTAATGTTACGAAGAATGATTCAATAACTCTTCAAGTCATTCTTCAGTAGAAGGCCTATTTATTAGGTGTTCAAGTAAATAAGTGTTAAGAAAGCCTAAGTTTATCACTCAATAGGTCAGTCGTAACATTTTAATGTGCGTGAACTGTGGTCAAATATATTAGAAGATACTGATTGTTCTTTGACACATGTTACACACTTATAGCAAATTCGAAATTCAATGTTTCTTTAGTGTAAAGTGAATTGTTCTAAGTGTAACGGGAAGAAAACGTTGAAAATCCCTCCACAGCATTTTTGTTGGACACTACTGTCATTTATTTGTTTCTTCTCTCTGTTGTGTATTTTAACCTCTGTTCAAATCTCTTTCAACCACACTTTGTGTTCTTCAGTCTTCTTCATCTGAGCTTTTATTGTGTGATTTTGATTAAAGACTTATCTTTTGTTACCTAATTTTTCTATTGCACGTTGCCCGACTATTGACAATAAGGTTGTGTGTTAATTAAGTTCAAAGTCACGGAGTGGTTTAGTGTGTAACTGTTAACCTCTTGACTATCTGCTTGGGAGGATTGCTAGAATCCCTGCAGATAGATATGTGTTCTCATCTTGTTGGGAATATTTTTATTGATTCTCATGTACTGAACTCTTTTGTTAATTAGCACGCTAATTTGTGTTAGAGAAACCCTTGACTGAATAACACAAGCTGTACCGTTTGAGGTATTTTGTATTTTTGATATAATTTGTTCTATTTCTTAAATTAGAACCGTTTAAATTGAGCACAAAGTTTGTGTTTTGATATAATTTAATACGAGTAACTCAAAAATGCTTCATACGCTATACAGAAGAACGTAGTCTCGTTTAATCGAATAAATTTTGGTTCATCAGCTCTGTATTCAAACCGAATATTGGCATTTCAGTTGTCACACTAAGTGTGTGTTTAAAAAATCTTCATCTATTCACCAGTGTTTATTTGCTATGGTCAGATCTACTCAGTTCATGTTAACCAGTCACTTTGAGTAATAATACCAATTAAGATCAATATGAGCAATGAACATAAGAGTAAGATATTCAAATTTCTTGGTCTCATTATATCAACTATTATTTGCATTACTGTTTTGGTACGCTAATTATTGAACGAATTTCATAATAACTGTCGATAATAATAATTACAATACACTGTTCCTAGATTACGCTTGACCAATGATAAGATATTTTAGGGTGGAGTTTCACTTTCTGAAAACAAAACGCTAAACAACCCATTTTCCCCCATTAACATATTACTAACTAGCTTACTTTTGATCCCATACTCGATCACCACGATGTAAAACATAAACATTTGAAGCGGATTGATCCGTTGCTTTAACAGAGGATACCACCCCTAAATAGTCGTTCACATTTCTTAATGGCCAGGATTCATTAAAGCCAATAAAGAAATCGTTTTGTCTAATTAACTAGAGATAAAATATACAAGAATAAAAAATAGTTAATTTCTACGCTTTTGACGACTATCATTTAAAATAATGTACAGCTGGAAATTTCAAGAGATAGAATTCTAGTGATAATCCATAACCAGTTAAGTTCAACCATATCGGGCGTAAGACAGTTACTTACCGAAGACAATGTAAGGTGGTCATGCAATACTATGAATTAACTAAAGTTAGACGTATACACCAATAGATTCCGGTTTATTGATCTAGAATTTCAAGATTCATAAGTGATCAAACGCCTTGGGTTTGATTTCCGGTAGGGTGGTGAATGTGTATTGTTGCACCTTATACTAGAATTAAATAGCTCTTCAGTGCTTCGTGGTTTTCACTCCTTATCATAAGTCGGTTTGTGATGTTAATAGTCTCTACATTACCTGTATTTTTTATTACTGAAGAAAAAATAATTTGTCACAGAATGCTAGATTATTCTGAGCTATAATATCCGTTGCTACATAAACTGTTTTAAAGTAATTATTGGCTAATGGTATCCGGCCATCCATTGGTTGGACATCATCGGCAACAACCTTCTGTGGGAGAGGACAAACCAGCTTCCAGGTGAAAACGAAATTAGGAGAAGACGATGGAAATGGATAGGACATACATTACCGAAATCACCAAACTACATCACGAGGCAAGCCCTAACTTGGAATCCTGAAGGGAAGCGGAAAAGAGGAAGGCCAAAGAACACATTACATCGGGAAATAGAATCAGATATGAAAAAGATGAATAACAACTGGATAGGGCTGAAAAGGATTGCCCAGGACGGGGTTGGGTGGAGAATGTTGGTGGGCGGCCTATGCTCCTTGACGAGGAGTAACAGGAGTAAGTTATCAACTAGAAACACACTTTTTCAAAGAACTTTTAGTACGTTATATTGAAATAAAATGATTCCATTACATTATGGCGCTCTCACCATCGATTGTACAACATTTCAACAGACTTTTATTCCATGTTTATTCAAATTCCAGTTATTTATGGAAAAAGAAGAACATTTTATCCCTGTATAAGGTTTATGAATTTCAATATATTCAACCATAATTTTTTTTAAAGAGGATCGATAAGAAGAAAAATTTCAGGAAATTTGATTTTTCAGTCTGTATTTTTCACTATTTAACAATACAATACTTTTTAAGTCTTATATAATTGATACCCTAGATCAATCAGACATGTCAATTGTAGGCCAAATGATAAGAGGTATATGTTAACGGGTACACATTTACTGGTCAGTACTTGACATAACTTTCTGAGGAAACAGATGAAACAGTACTAGTTGAAACTTCAGTCCAATTTTCTGAGGGGAACGGATATCTATTTATAAATGAGCTTGTGTATATGTTCTCGATTTGAGTTAGCCAACAGAAGCTTCCTACTCACCCTGAATTTTCTCATTGAAATAACTCGTGAAGCTCGTATATATTGATGACAGACTAGGATGACACAATAAATTTTCTGATGACGAGTTAGTTCAACAATATTTTGGCAATGAATTTTTGACTCTGCAAGAAAAATAGATCCATGTCAATATCCCAAGCACAGCTTAAATCTATTTTGTAGAAGCATAGAAAACAACATCATCGAATTCAATATTAAATCCAAATCAACCGCTAGGACTGTTATTATTTGAATTAGTAATTTACCCTGATAATTATGAATATGTGATGGACTACTTCAACGATAGTGTTTGCATGGAATTTTCATGATAGAACAATCAATTTGGTTTAATTATGCCATTGATTCTAAAGTTCTAAATGGGCAAATTTAAGAGAAACAGAACTACTGAATAGTTGACTTAGTGCATGTTCAATATGGCAAATTGCCACTTACATATACCCTGTAAGAATAAAGTAAATTTTTAAATTAACTAATGAATTATCAAGACTGAAAATAAACGCTATATATCACTAATTATTGTATACTTCTGCATGCTGTAATCTATATCCTATCATCCTACATCCCAGTCTTCATTAATAAGGATAGTATTTATATTGGCCTATGTTAATCCTTGCAGTTTGTTTTCCAATGAAGATCTCGCTTCTCCTTGAAGGCATTCCTTAATGAAGCTTATACCACTAATTCGGTTAGGACGTTCCAGTCATCGATCATTAGATAAGAAAATCGAAATTCCACTCTGCATTTATTTGATCACGGTTTTTGAACCTTCTTACTATGGCCTCGAATATGATTGGTTCCGGAAAGATCAAAAAGACAAGATATCTTAATACTCAAATCATTATTTAAGATAATAAATGCCAACATAAGGTCATCTCTCACTCTACGATATGGGGGAAAGGTCTAAGCATTTCAAGCACTCAGGATAGTTTGTTCCATGTTGAGTCACCTAAACGAGTGAACATATTGCAACGTAACCGACAAAATCCAGTCAGTACTAAAAAGACTAGACCAGTTACTCAGTTATCAACCGACTGTATCACTGTATATTACAATCTTGTGTAACTAATGGGAATGTGAAACATAAAAGTAATCATCAGTTAATCAGATATGTCACTGAACAACAGAGATGGATTAACATGTTATACATTGTTGAACATCATATTCCCCAACTAGTTAAAGTATAATACAGACATTTATTAACTGTGACGGTGTAGTGCGCGCTACTTAAATTGATGTAAGTAGTATATGACGCGAGTTAAAAACGTAATGTCTAGCAGCAGAAGATGGGGGAAGATCAAGAAAGGAAGAACGGGAACACAATGCAATTTGTGAGAAAACGCATGAACAATGAAATGTGAGACAATGGATTGATGACTGCAACAGCAACAGTCCGGTTCGATATGATGGATTAATATTTTGCAAATTAAGGATTTCCCATATCGTTTTTCTATTTTAGCAGGTAACTGTGTAATTTTGTGCTAGATGGAGTTTAAATGTCCTCACCCGTGTACTATTCACTACAACGGTAGTATGGTTTCGAAACATTTTGAATAATGAACTCTATGGAGCTGAGATTAACGTAAAATCGCGTGTTTTAAGTTGCCGGCGTAGCTCAATTTCAAACAAGAAAGTTTAGTAGAATTATACTCTATGTGCAAGTCATTCAGAATTGGGAATGTAACTTTCAGAGATTTGGGCGAAAGTTGAATGTCATTTAGAGTGAGCAATAGAAATATCTTTTTATATGGCTCAAAATTTTGTGAATAATTGATTTTATGGTTGAACTAATCAATTAATGCTTCTTATATATTTCCAATGAAAATTCATTTATCCATATAGCTACAGACCATATCTGTATTGTCAATTTGTAATGAAAACTCTAATCCTAAGGACTTTTAAAAGCCTGTTTGGCTGTTTTTAAGGGTTCAAGAAAATAAAATAACCTAAATCCATAAAGACGAGTTTACATGTCGTTAGTTTTCTGAGGACATACAGACAGAGTAATCTGTAGAAGACTTTAGTAATAGATTAATTAATTACGTGAAATTGGTTCACTATTTGTAATACTGTTATTTCCTCTATAAACAATCCACTTGCAGAAGCTGTTTTCTGTTTGGTTACAAACTTTCATTACAATTCTTCCCATTTATGAATTTGACTAAATTAAGAGGGCCTGTCTCGTGACGTAGTTGGGTGCTTTCCTCAATGTGTGTCCTATCCACTTCCAGCGCTTCTTCCTGATTTCTTCCTCCACTGGGATCTGATTTGTTCTTTCCCACAGTAGGTTGTTGCTAATAGTGTCCGGCCGACGGATCCGAAGTATTTTGCGAAGACAACTGTTAATAAACACCTGTATCTTCTGGATGATGGCTTTCGTAGTCCTCCAGGTTTCTGCCCCCATACAGTAGAATTGTCTCGACATTTGTATTGAAAATCCTGACCTTGGTGTTGGTTGACAGTTGCTTTGAGTTCCAGATGTTCCTCAGTTGTAAATATGCTGCTCTTGCTTTACCGATCCGCGCCTTCACATCTGCATCAGATCCACCCTGTTCATCAACGATGCTGCCCAAATACGCAAAGGTTTTTACATCTTCCAAATCTTCTCCGTCAATTGTGATTGGATTGGTTCATTCTGTGTTGTATCAGAGAATCTTGCTTTTCCCTTTGTGTATATTGAGACCTATTGCTGCTGAGGCTGCTGCCATACTGGTCGTCTTCTCCTGCATTTCTTGTTGCGTTTGGGATAGAAGGGCCAGATCATCTGCGAAGTCTAGATCGTCCAACTGCATCCCATCTGTCCACTGTATCTCGTGCTTCCCTTCAGATGTTGACGTCTTTATGATCCAGTCGGTCACCAGGAGAAAGAGAAAGGGTGAGAGTAAGCAACCTTGCCTGACACCGTTCTATATATATAGGGAGAGAGAAAGAATGTTTGTGTGTTTAAACACCTCTCGTTTATCCTATAGATATACAAAGACAGACTTATGTCACTGTCCATGGTCTGTGCACTCGAGGCTTTACAGAATTCAAAATCCTGAATAGTCATAAGCGTTTCATGAACGTATGACAGCATATTATACAGTTCACATCTATAACCCAATCCGTTAAAATAAATGTAAAACGATAAGAATTATTATACTATACACAATGGGAATGATGGATCACCTAAAGATTCGATCAGGGTATATAATAATATTGTTATTATTACTATTACCATTAATATAATCGATATCGTGGTAACATACCTCATTTTGAAATTCATCATCATTATCATGATCATCATCAATTGAAAATGGATATCTTTGGAAATCATATATTATACATGTTATATACTTCCATGTAAATAAGAGATTAATGAAGAGATTGAAATACATATTTGCTCTATTTATTATTAATAATCATCAATTATGTAAGAAAATATTGAAATTAAATTCATTTATGATCCTTTTCTTCAAGTACTTCTAGTATTTATAATCTTGGTAATAATAATAATAATCAAGATAATAATGATCTATTTATAATCACAATGTCATGGATACTCATGAATTGTAAATGATCTTCACTGAATGTTGCCTTTTATCTTCTTCTTCTTCTTCTTCTTCTTCTTCTTCTTCTTCTTCTTCTTCTTCTTCTTCATTGATATATTGGTCGTATGAAAAATAGTACAAACTCTTTATTCTGATTGGTTAATTTTATCGTTATCTCAATGAAAATAATATTAGGAAAAATCAATAAAATAAAGGTAAGTAACCAATGAGAATTGAGTTAATCTACTTTTTTTATTAGTCTCATCAACTGTTTCAAAATGTATCGGTAGTTATTAAAATGGATATTATTGGTCAGACGATGTTTGAGCAAATGTTAAAATGACCTTGAAAATATCCACCCACGTATTAGGATTAAATGACGGTTATAAATCAGTGTGAGGAATTATAATGTTGATTGAGATCATAAAGCGATTGGTGTTAGACCGCCATTGAAAATCTGAAAGCACTGGACGACCGTTTCATCCTAGTATAGGACTTCTCAGCAGTGCGCATTCACGATTCCTCCGGCGGGATTCGAACTCAGGGTTTTCGGTCTAGTGTGCGAACGCATAACCTTTAGACTATTGAGCTAGCATCCAAAGGTATTAATGTCTAACCTCAACCAGTCCACAAAATTGTGCGATCATCAACACCGTTGGATGCCGAATTAGTGGTCTAGTAGGTTGAGCGTTCGCATGCGAGACTGAAGGCTCTGGATTCGAATCCTGCTAGTGGGATTATGGATGCGCACTGCTAAAGAGTCCTGCAATGTTATGAAATGGCCGTCCAGTGCTTCCAGGTTTTCAATGGCGGTCTAACATCAATCGATTCATAATCTCAATCAAGAACTTTACAATCTCCACAACCTCTAAACTGATAATTACCATCTGCTCACTAGTGACTAGCTTTGTGAGAAAATTCTCGAAGTTCTGATGAAAAGCCGTGACCAGTGGAGCTAATCCGTGCCGGATAGAAACAGGTGTTTACCTCAGTACAATGGAAGATGGTCATGCAACTTCGTGGATCGGTTAAGGTTAGAAATTAACGCCACTGGATGCCGGCTCAGCGGTCCAGTAGGTTAAGCAGTCACGCGCGAGACTGAAAGCCCTCGGTCCGAAACCCACGATCAGGGTCATGGATGCGCACTGCTGAGCAGTCCCACAATAGGACGAAACGGCCTTCCAGTGCTTCCAGGTTCTCAATGGTGCTTTAACATCAATCGCTTCATGATCTCAACAACCCTATACTGGTAATTATAATTTTTGTTCACAGTTGATGTTTAGGGTTGGGAATTCGATTTAAAGTTTCCATCACGAACTGACATCAGCTATAATGCCGAAATAATATTTAGCCGGATGAGTGGATGAATTTTGTTTTAAAATCCAAAATCCTTTATCTTAATTCTGATTGGTCCGTTCATAAATTATAATCCCGGTTGGAACAAGGGACAAACAGATTAAACGATTGAAGTATTTTTATATCATGAATTGACTACTGTAGATAGTGAAACAAATCCAAATGTTATTCAATAAAAATAAAGAGAATTCGACGGAGAGAATTTTCTTTTCGACAAAATCATTTATAAATATCGAATTAAAAAGAAGGTATGGTTGTTGAAATCTTGAATAAACGGATTTCAAAATCCTTAAATAAAATATTCTATTCCGCTAAACTTCGTATTGTTTTCTCAAACTGGCCTACTATTCACCGATGTGTTAAGGATAAACTTCCACTTTGGGCCATATCAATCTGCATCTATAAATTTACTTGCTCATATGGGGCAGGTTACATTGGCCGCATAAAGTGATCACTTTCTAAAAGCATCTAAGAACACTACCCGACATAGCTTTTAAAAGGAGAACGCCAAGACAATTACCAGCTCAATATAAGTAGTATTTAATCAACTCCGAACATATCTCTCCGAAGGAGTCTTTTTTTTAGAAAAAATAATCTACACAGTCAAAGGATTTGGATCGAAGGGAAGTCGAATAAAAATCTTGTGAACTGTTGAGGCATTGGCGATCCATAAACTCAAGCCCCAGCTTTGAGTGCAAAAGAGATACATCCAACCTCTCATCCTTTGCTAGTTCTAATTCCCTTTTGTAGTATGTTCCAGTTAATATTATTGTTATTATTATTATTATTATTATTATTATTATTATTATTATTATTATTATTATTATTATTATTAAAACGTAGAGCTAGTATTTTGGTTCGACATTAGGACTTTTACATATAGGGAATAAGTACAGAAAATTTATTAGTTTCCGTTTCAGATGATAGGCAAAAAAACACTAAACGACATTACATGTAACTCATAAGTTTATTCAGTTACTTTGAGAAAAACTACATGTCATTAATTAGATAATAAGGAATTCATGAACTATAATGTTTAATAAACAGAGATGGATGGTGGCTAGCAGTGGAATACAGGAAACTTGTTTCGTCTAATCTTGGGACTCGTCAGCTGGATGTACCTGCATCCGAGTTGATGTTCAACCTGGGACTCGAACCCAGTGCCGTTCGCTTCAGACGCCATCAACTCTATAGTGCAGGTACACCCAGCTAACGAGTTCTAAAATAAGACGAAACACGCGTCCTGTATTCCACTGCTAGCCACCATTCGTCTCTGCTTATAATGCTTGTGACTTAAAACAATATCGAGGCAATCTGCACAGGATGTAAATATGCCATTAAGGGTCTGATCAACTGAAATCCTAAACATCAATGGGAAGATTCAAGCAAACAATATCAGATGAATCTTCAAATGTCGTTTAAAATCATGTCGAGTATGTTACCTTTATTTCAAGTGCAAACACTGCAGTTGTTTTTGAGTGATTATCCATTGAAAAGCTGCAGTTATATCTGCTTTTTTGAAAATCGTATTAGATTACAAACATAGCATAATATCAGTAAATACAATTTTATACAATTCTAGGGACTGTTTATTGAAGTTAGCAGGGAAATGTCTAGCACTGTTGGTCAAGCTCCAAGTCCGCGAAATATTTCGGTCGAAGTAAGTGGACGGTTCAGTCGGATGATTCTGAATAATCTCTTCTTGTTTCGGGATTATTTCCAGAGGAAATTTAATGAATTTCAACGCGCATATACGCTATTTTATTATGGATACAAATCACATCGAGTAGCAGCATCGTTTGTGGTTTAATATACTAAGAAAGCTAAAGTATATTCCTTTGCTACGGTTTACCGCGTTGACCTAATGACGAAAATTTCCATTGTCCAGTATTCGGAATTTACGCTTCTTATCTCAGTTAGTACTTTACAGAAGCTATCAGTTAATGATCCCACTCATACTGATGAATCTACCAATGTAAACAGGAAAAACAACTCGAGTTTATAATGTATTTACTTATTCAGATAGGGTAACAACTAACACCATGTACTTGAAATTAACCGCCCGGTAGTGAACAATGTTGTTTATTCTACAGTAAACTGCAAGGATTCATACACATTCCCCCATCTGGACTTGTGATAAAAGATGAAAACAACAAGCTTATTGATCGTCGACGGTTCGATCTTCTTTTAGTGCGGAAATCTACATTGAACTGACTATTTTTGACAACTGAAAACCTTCAAGTGAATACAGATGCTATTTAGAGGAAATGATGTAACAATAGAACGTATACTTTGCAGTTGTCGAAAATCATAGTTTATGCCTCTAATAAACGCTTCACAAATGAATATTTATCGAATGGATAAACTGGATAAAACAGATGATCATCACCATCCAATTGTCCATTTTCAAAACACATGAAGTTGCTATTATTGAGCAGCACATCTGGAAGGCATCTACAGGAGAAGAGTATATAGTATGACAATAATTTACCTCAAAGATGCATCAGTGTGTACTGAGTAATCATCTATTAAGCATCAGTATCCATTCGCATTACAAATTATATCTTGGAGTTGTTTAGGGCTCAGACGTAATAAGTAAAGATGCTATTAGCTGAAGTAAAACCTATGATTTATGATATTTCTATACACTGACTTTCTAACCGCTGCCTATTGCTAAGACATCGTCTAAACTTGAGCCCCAATCAGAAAAAAATGTGGAGAGTATGTAAAGAAGTTTTGCTTACCACCTCACGTGAGATACATAAAGCAAGGATATTTATAAGTTTATGCGTGAACGTTTTAGTCTAGAGTCAGTCAGTCAGCTACAACGTAGGACCAGGCACATATATGCATCGGCCCAAGTTGCCATAACTCATTAAAGCAACAAGATGAACACCGGATTCGTAAAAGTAGTTAATTCAGAGGTGGTAATATATAAAAAAAAGATTGCAATAAGGATATAGTACAGGAAGAAAGAATTAGTTCGTAGAAAGAAAGATATGAAGCAATTTTAATCTCACGGTTTAAGGGAACACAGAGAGTGTATACACCGACGCCATTGTGATCGATTCTGAGCCGTGTTACCAAGAGTCTCCAACCATTGGTCACGACAGTCACGCGGACCCCAACCAAGTAGTCTGCATCTACCAACATGGCTCAGACTAGAAGTTAGTGACTTCAAGCACTGATGCCACGTTTTGGTTTGGCCGCCCCTAACTTTCTTCCAACCATCTCCAACACCGGTTAGCATTGCACGTCGTGGTAATCGGTGTTCAGGCATACGTAACACGTGGCCCAACCATCTCAGTCGATGAAGATTCATAACCTCATCAACTGATTTACCATCATTACCTAATACCCTGCGTCTAACCTCACTATTACTTACCCAGTGATCCCAGCAGACGCCAGCAATATTTCTAAGGCATCCGTGGTCAAATACTAATAGCTTACGAGTATCTTCTACTCTTAATGGCCATGTTTCGCTGCCGTAAATTAAAACAGAACGGACTGCCGCGCAGTATACTCGTCCTTTTATTGATAGACGGATATCTCGCCTTCGCCAAAGGTGACGTAAGTTGGCAAAAGCCAAACGAGCTTTTCGAATCCGTGCTGAGATTTCGTCAGACACCAACCCATTTGGGCTGATCAGACTTCCAAGACAAGTGAAGTTGTCGACGCGTTCGACTACTTCACTCCCTATCCTTAGTTCAGATGTTGACGCAGACCAGTCCTGAAGCCTAAATTGGTAACAA